AAAATAACAAAGCCATAAAAAAACAACAAAAAAAAAACAAAACTACCATGGCCCTATTACTACTACTACTATTAGGAACGGCTGGATGGTCATCTGTTGTGGGTGCTTTGACTATGCTTTTACTGCATGGCAGAAACAAGTTGAACTGGGTGGGCACAGGGTTGCTCCTATTATTATTGTTGTTATTTCAAAAGCTTGATGGTCATCTGTTGGGGTGCTTTGATTTGTGCTTTTACTACATGGGAGAATGGGTTGGCGTGGGTGGTCCCGGGGTTCCTCCTCCTATTATTATTATTATTATTATTATTATTATTATTATTATTATTATTGCAAAGGCTGGATAGCCATCTGTTGGGTGTGCTTTGATTGTGCTTTTATTGCATGAAGGCAGAAGGGTGTTGGATTGAGTGGCCCCTGGGTTTCTCCTATTATTATTATTATTATTATTATTATTATTATTATTATTATTATTATTATTGGAAAGGCTGGATTGTCATCTGTGGTGGGTGCTTTGACTGTGCTTTTACTGAATGGCAGAAACACGTTGGACTATGTGGGCACAGGGTTGCTCCTATTGTTATTTCAAAAGCTGGATGGTCATCTGTTGGGGGTGCTTTGATTGTGCTTTTTTGCATGAAGGCAGAAGGGACTTGGACTGGGTGGCTCCTGGGTTTCTATTATTATTATTATTATTATTATTATTATTATTATTATTATTATTATTATTATTGGAAAGGCTGGATTGTCATCTGTGGTGGGTGCTTTGACTGTGCTTTTACTGAATGGCAGAAACAAGTTGGACTGGGTGGGCACAGGGTTGCTCCTATTATTGTTATTTCAAAAGCTGGATGGTCATCTGTTGGGGGTGCTTTGATTTGTGCTTTTACTACATGGGAGAATGGGTTGGAGTGGGTGTCCCTGGGGTTCCTCCTATTATTATTATTATTAATAATAATATTATTGCAAAGGCTGGATAGCCATCTGTTGGGTGTGCTTTGATTGTGCTTTTCTTGCATGAAGGCAGAAGGGTGTTGGATTGGGTGGCCCCTGGGTTACTATTATTATTATTATTATTATTATTATTATTATTATTATTATTATTATTGGAAAGGCTGGATTGTCATCTGTGGTGGGTTCTTTGACTGTGCTTTTACTGAATGGCAGAAACAAGTTGGACTGGGTGGGCACAGGGTTGCTCCTATTGTTGTTATTCCAAAAGCTGGGGGTGCTTTTTCAAAAGCTGGGAGTGCTTTGATTATGCTTTTTTGCATGAAGGCAGAAGGGACTTGGACTGGGTGGCCTCTGGGTTTCTCCTATTATTATTATTATTATTGGAAATGTTGGATTGTCATCTATTGTGGGTACTTTGTGTTTTTACTGCACGGCAGAAACACGTTGGACTATGTGGGCACAGGGTTGCTCTATTATTATTGTTGTTGTTGTTGTTATCATTTCAAAAGCTCGATGGTCATCTGTTGGGGGTGCTTTGATTTGTGCTTTTCCCGCATGGCAGAATAAAGGGGGTTGGACTGGATGGCCCCATGGTTGCTCCTATTATTACTATTACTATTATTATTATTATTACTATTACTATTATTATTATTATTAGTAGTAGTAGTAGTACTGCTGCTGCTATTATTTCAAAGGCTATTGTTATTTCTGTTGGGGACTGCTATGATTTGTGTTTTTACTGCATGTCAGAAGACAGTTGGACTAGTGGCCCCTGAGGTTGCTCCTATTATTATCGTTGTTGTTGGTTGCTCTTATTATTAGTAGTAGTATAGTTATTGTTGTTGTTGCAGATGCTTCCCCTTAAGGTTCCGCTGCCTTGGCCACAGCAGTATCACATTACCCGTCCTTACCCTTGGAAGAGGAAGAGGTTGAGGTGGTTGTACTTCTTGGTGAGGAAGTTGCCCAGGATGCGCGTGGGGTAGCCGCAGCGGATCTGATAGGCCGACAGAGCAAAGTAGATGCATTTCACAAAGTACCACAGCTGGGCCACAGTATTCATGTTAAACATCCTGGAAAGAGAAATGAAGAATAGAGGTGGGCGCTGTAGACTGCATTTGAGATGACACCAACAGACACACAAGAGGAGATTTGCATTGGGGCTGATACTACTGAAAAGCAATCGGATTGGAAACCAAGGACTCCAAAAAGAACTGCTAAGTTTGTTGCCTTGAGAGGGGAAGATAATGTTGGGCAAGTGGCTTATTAACAAAAGACCCTCCTCATAAATGTTCAAGAGTAACTGATTAGCAGCAGCGTGACCCAGCACCAATAGCCCAAAGTGATAAAAAGAGCAAAAATACAGAGACCGATGCTATATCTTTCCACAGGAGGCTTTTTAATAGCAAAATAATCTGGCTCCACTATCTACAACAGTGGTTCTCAACCTGGGGGTTGGCACCCCTGGGGAGGTCGCGAGGGGGTGCCAAAGACCATCAGAAAATACAGTATTATCTGTTGATCATGGGGGTTCTGTGTGGGAAGTTGGGCCAATTCTATTGTTGGTGGGGTTCAGAATGTCCTTTGATTGTAGCAGAACTATAAATCCCAGCAACTACAACTCCCAAATATCAAGGTCTATTTCCCCCAATCTCCACCAGTGTTCACATCTGAGCATATTGAGTATTCATGCTAAGTTTGGTCCAGATCCATCATTGTTTGAGTCCACAGTGCTCTCTGGATGTAGGTGAACTACAACTCCAAAACTCAAGGTCAATGCCCACCAAACCCTTCTAGTATTTTCTTTTGGTCATGGGAGTTCTGTGTGCCACGTTAGGTTCAATTCCATCATTGGCGGAGTTCAGAATGCTCTTTGATTGTAGGTGAACCCTAATATATCCCAGCAACTACAACTCCCAAATGATAAAATCAATCTCCCTCAACCCCACCAGTATTCAAATTTGGGTGTATTGGGTATTTGTGCCAAATTTGGTCCAGTGAATGAAAATACATCCTGCATATCAGATATTTACATTATGATACACAACAGTAGCAAAAATTAGAGTTATGAAGTAGCAAAGAAAATAATGTTGTGGTTGGGGGTCACCACAATATGAGGAACTGCATTAAGGGGTCGCAGCATTAGGAAGGTCGAGAACCACTGATCTACAAGATCAAGATTTCCGTAACATAAATAAAGTTGTATTGTCGAAGGCTTTCATGGCTGGAATCACTGGGTTGTTGTAGGTTTTTTCGGGCTATATGGCCATGGTCTAGAGGCATTCTCTCCTGACGTTTCGCCTGCATCTATGGCAAGCATCCTCAGAGGTAGTGACGCTACCTCTGAGGATGCTTGCCATAGATGCAGGCGAAACGTCAGGAGAGAATGACTCTAGACCATGGCCATATAGCCCGAAAAAACCTACAACAACCCATAAATAAAGTTCTTTACGCTTCCTTCTTTGCTTCCACACTGGGCTTCTTTCTCATGCAGATAAACAGCTTCGCTCTCACATTGCCTCTTCTCACACTGAACATACACATCGTGTGTGGAGCTTCACATATGATGGCCTTCAACCTGGGGCTTCTCTCACACTGAGGCGTCTCACACTAGACCTCTCACACACTGAGGCCTGCTAACACTGAGTTTTACCTCAGACTGAGGCCTCTCTCAGACTGAAGCCTTTCTCTCACTGAGGCCTCTCTAACACTGGAGCCCTCTCATACTGAGGCCTCTCACACTGAGGCCTCTCTCAGACTGAAACCTCTTCATACTGAGGGCACACCTGCTTATACTGAACTACAGATTTTGCTGAGTCATTGCATCCATTTAACCCTTTCAGTGCTTGACTCACATTTTTGTAATTAAAAATACCTAGGTAATTTTTAATATTTCTGACAGATGAAGACGTGATTCTATGGCCATCTTCATATGCCCAGAGGGATTTTACGTAGACAATGGTGTGCTTTAGTTGTTTCTCCCTGTAATGCCAAGGGATTGGACTATGTGACCTTTGGGTGCCCCTTCTGACTGGTCTGAAAGCCAGTTCTGAGGAGTCACTTTGGGACTTTTTCAATATCAAATGACTGGCAATGGAGTTTCCATATGATTCTATGAATTTTCTAGGTGCAGAACTTCAGGCTGCAATGGCTGTGATGGAGTCCCCATCTTTTGGGATGGCTGGATGGCCATCTGTCAGGAGAGTTTTGATTGTGCCTGCCTGGCAGGAGGGGGTTGGAATGCATGGCCTTTGGGGATCTCTTCCAACTTTATGAATCTATGGAAACATTCAAGATGGAATAGCTGTGATGGAGTCTCCAACATAGAGGTTGGATGGAATCACCAACATAGAGGTTGGATGGCCATCTGTTGGGAGGCTTGGATTGTGTCTCCCTGCCTGGCAGAAGGGGGTTGAACTGGATGACATTTTGAGTGTCCCCCTACTCTAGAATTCTATGGAGTCCGTGGAAGGATTGGGAGAAGATGGGGTCACCTGTTGACACTTACCTGTCGGTGACCGCAGGAAGGATGAAGAACATCCAGACATGGATGCCGAAGACCAAGAAGACCTGGAAGGCGAGTTTGCCCAGGACGCTCTTGCGGAGGTAGAGGGCCCGGTCGATGACCATGGTGGAGAACTGGATGAGCAGCATCACCAGGAAGGCCTGTGGGACCTGGTCTTCCGAAAGTGAGGAGGCGATATCAGCGGCAGCCGAATGTTTCTGGGGAGGAAAGGAGAGGAATGGCAGCTTAATAGGTGTGGAAGTCACATTTCCCAGGGCAACCCATCTGGCACATCCTCCCCGTGTTCCCTTTATAGGAAACATAGCCTCTCTCTTGCCAGGATGCTGGGTTCTAGAGTCCTTGTTGGCATCCGTCTGTGTGCCTTTGAGTCATTCCCAAGTTATAACAAGTCTTTTTGTGGCAAGATTTGTTCAAAGGAAGCTTGCAACCTTTTGCATATTCTACCCACTTTCCACGATTCCTGTGCCTGGAGATGGGATCATAGACAGGTTCATCATCATCAATCTTTATTGCGGTCCAAAGATGCAATTTGTTCAGTGGAAAAGGTGCACAGTGTCAGAAATATTAAAAATTAACTAGATATTTTTAATTACAAAAATGTGAGTCAAGTACAGAAAGGGTTAAATGGATGCAATGACTCAGCAAAAGCTGTAGTTCAATACAAGCAGGTTTGTTGCCCTCAGTCTATGAGAGGTCTCTGTGGGAGAAGGGCCTCAGTGTGTTAGTAGGCCTCAGTCTGAGAGAGCCCTCAGTCTGAGATGGCCTCAGTGGGAGAAATACCTCAGTGTGAGGTAGGCCTCAGAGGGAGAAAGGTTTCAGTGTTAGTAGGCTTCAGTATGAGGAAGGCCTTGTGCGAGAAGCCTCAGTATGAGAAGAGGCAATGTGAGAGCAAAGCTGTTTATCTGCAGGTGAAAGAAGCCCAGTGTGGAAGCAAAGAAGGAAGTATAAAGAACTTTATTTGTGCTATGGAAACCTTGTTCTTGTAGATAGTGCAAACATATTAATTTGCTATAAAGAAAAACCTCCTTTACAATGGCCTGACTGTACCTGGGGCAAACAGCACAACAACAGAGAGGAAGCAGGCAGGGACATCTAATTACCTCTCAACAAAAGTTTCACCCAGGCACAGTCAGGCCATTGTATGCTAATCAAGGTGGTCAGTTGAAACATTCACACCTAGCTCCAGCAGAGAAGAGTCCTTTGTCTCACCCTGGTCATTCCACAGATATATAAACCCTTTTGCCTAGTTCCAACAGACCTCACTACCTCTGAGGATGCTTGCCATAGATGCAGGCGAAACGTCAGGAGAGAATGCCTCTAGACCATGGCCATATAGCCCGAAAAAACCTACAACAACCCATTGTGCATAAAGTTACCTTTTGGGCTCTGTGTATAAAGAGGTCTACAAAACATACATGGATATTATGTTTAGACTTTTGTGCACCTTCTCCAAGGTGTCTCGTGATGTATATGCAAATATTCCAAAACACAAAGCATTTCCAATAAGGGATGCTCAACCTGTACGTTAACTTTGCAAAGACCAACAGTAAACAAGACGTACCCCAAAAGCCCAGAAACCGAAGATGATGATGATGAAGTCGACCACGTCGGCCAGGAACATGAGCGCATAGACGTCTGTGGCAGCCCGGTATTTGCTGTGCAAAATGTCCTTGAAAAATTGCCGCAACGGCTGGAAGACACATCCTGCCCTGAAAGAAAGAGGGGAAAGTTCATTTTCATGGTTCATTTGCTCATTTTCACAGTCATCTCAAACTACACAGAGAAGCCACTGAAATCCACAAGAAGCACGTGGACAATTTCAACAGAAAGGAGGAAACCATGAACATGAACAAAATCTGGTTCCCAGTATTTTAAAAAACTCTAAAATCAGGACAGTAAACAAAGAGCAACACTCAAAAAACAGGGGAATTCCAGACAGGAAACAATCAGGGCTAGTTACACCTCCCAACAAAGGATCCCCCGGGCATGAAGCAGCCAGGCTTTGAAGCTGCAAAGCTATACAATGCTAATCAAGGTGGCCAGCTGCAACATTCACATTTGCCTCAAGCAGACAAGAGTTCTTTCGCCTTTGTTTAATTCTTTTAGCATTTTATACTTTGTTTTTATTATGCTATTGTCATTATTTTATTGCATTACTATGTTATTTTTACACATTTTTATTTGATGTTATCATCTGTTTTGTATGTACTTTACTTTGCTTTATTGTAATTATTTGGGCTTGGCCTCATGTTAGCCACCCCGAGTCCCTTCGGGGAGATGGTGGCAAGGTATAAATAAAGATTATTATTTATTATTATTATTATTATTATTATTATTATTATTATTATTCTCTCACCCTGGACATTATATAAACCGCACTTGCCTAATTTCCAACAGATCTCACAACCTTTGAAGATGCCTGCCATAGATGTGGGTGAAACGTCAGGAGATAATCTTCTGGAACAAAGCCATTCAGCTCAGAGAACTCACAGCAACCCATTATTATTATTATTATTATTATTATTATTATTATTATTATTATTATTATTCTCCCACCCTGGACATTATATAAACCCCACTTGCCTAATTTCCAACGGACCTCACAACCTCTGAGGATGCCTGCCATAGACGTGGGTGAAATGTCAGGAGAGAATGCTTCTGGAACATGGCCATACAGCTCAGAGAACTCACAGCAACCCATTATTATTATTATTATTATTATTATTATTATTATTATTATTATTATTATTCTCCCACCCTGGACATTATATAAACCCCACTTGCCTAATTTCCAACAGAACTCACAACCTCTGAGGATGCCTGCCATAGATGTGGGTGAAATGTCAGGAGAGAACATAGCCATTCAGCTCGGAGAACTCACAGCAACCCATTATTATTATTATTATTATTATTATTATTATTATTATTATTACTACTAATATTTAATTCTGTTTTAATGTTTGTATATTTAAATTGTATTGAATCTGCTTTGAGTCTCCTTTGTGGGGAGAAAAAGTGGGGTATAAATAAACATAATAACCATCATTATCATTGTCATTGCTGGCACAACATCCATTGCACCCACTCTGCACTTACGCAGAGGCAAAGAAGTGCTTCGCTCTCCGTCCAGCGGCCTTCAGCTTTTCCTGGGATGGGCTTGACTTCTTCTCCTCTCCTTCCTCTGTCTCTTGTTTCTTTTCTTGCTCTTCTGGGGCTAGAAAAAGAAAAGGCAGTGTGTGCGCACGAAAGCATTTCAGGGGCAGTAGGTGGGAGACATTCCTTGGATGACTCTGGGCATCCATTTCCACTGACTCCCTTGAGCTCAGAGCCAAAGAGCAATGCCCACCAGTGATCCCAAGTATCCATATTTTAATTTCTATACAGGAGGAATAGGGAAAAGAAAAACAGTGTATTATAGAGGTCTGAGTTCCAGATTGGGATGTCTAGGGACTCCTGATTTGCTTTAACAACAACAACTTTTTTTTGTATCCTGCCACCATCTCCCTGAAGGGACTTATGGTGGTTTACATGGGGATCAAGCCCAGTCAAACAGAGTTAAAATATACACAATAAAATACATATACAAAACATAAAAAAAACCCCATAAACCATCATACAACACCCAGTAGCCAAGCACAGTGGACATTTCATAACTAAGGGGCAAGGCAAGGGCTTGTGCAATAGAGAAGTGCAAGAGCCAGATGATAAATTAGGGCTAAAAGGGCCAAATCAATTAGTGCAATACAACTGCAGGGACAGGGACAATAGTAAAGTGCAAGAGCTAGATATTAAATTATGGCTAGAGGGGCCAATTCATCTAGTGAACTTGTTCTGTCGTGCACTGGGCCTGTAACAGCTGTACCTTCCTATAGGACGTATACTTTAAGCCCAGCGGGAAGCCAGGGGCACCTCAAAGAGAGGTTCTCGGGGATTTTTCTGAAGTGATGGTCTTTAGAGTCTTTAATGATACGACAAAGTCTTTATTATGAAACAAACAAAAAATCTTCAATAGTACAAACAACACTTCAAGGCTTTCTTAGTCTAGTCCTCAATGGACTGGTACCTAACTTTGATTAACTGTACTTTCTCTGTAGGAAAAGATGCTTTTTTTTAAAAAAAAAGAATAATCTTTATTAGTTTTAGAAAAATAGAAACATCGATAGAAAATAGAAACATCGTTTACACAGATATATAAAATCCACATTCCGGGGGAAAAGGGGGTGGGAAGGGGCGACAGAGGGTGGGGGAAGGAGAGGGTGATACTCACAACGAACACACACAACATAAACCCACTGTCCCTCCTTATTTGGAGGGATGGTGGGCGGTGACTTCCATTTAGTTTCCATCCGGAGCAATTCCATACATTCTGCCGGAGGTATACTGTCTACTCCGGACTTGACTTGCACCTAGTTCATTCTACGCACTAATTAGCTGTGTCTCTTGCAATTTGCTCATACCCCTTTACGGTTCATATTTCTTTGTTTCGTATTCATCAAAGTTCACCCAATCCGTCTGTTTAATTGGTTTTCCGGTACTTGATTTCAGCAGGAAGGTCAGCTTGTCCATATCCCTTAGTTCCGAGATTTTAACTAGCCATTCTTCCACTGTGGGGATCTGGTTTTCTTTCCAATGTCGTGCCAGTACTATTCGTGCTGCTGTCGATAGATACATCCAGAGGATGTCTTCATTATCGTCCAGCATGAAGTCTTCATCCGTTAGCCCTAGTAAAAAATRCTCGGGCTTTCTTGGAAATCTGATCTTAAGGATTTTTTGGGCTTCTTCCTGTACGCCTTGCCAGTATTTTTTCACAGCTGGGCAGGACCACCACATATGAAAGTAGGTGCCTGAATGTTCTTTACATTTCCAGCAAGAGATCTTGATATTTTTGTACATTTGGCTGAGTTTGTAGGGTGTTAGGTACCATCTGTGAAATGTCTTTAGCCAGTTCTCTTTTAGTGCCGTGGAACAAGAGTATTTTAGCTTTTTTCTCCACACTAGTTGCCATTCTCGTAGATTTATTGGCCGCCCTACATTCTGGGCCCATTGGATCATGCAATTTTTAATTTCCTCTGTTTCAGTTTCCCAAGTGAGAAGTTGGTTATACAGTTTGGTAATGAGCTTCTTTTCTGTACTCAGTACTATGTCCCAGGGTGATGGTTTTTCCTCGAACCCGGTCTTCTCGTCTTGCTTGAAAGTTTCTCGGAGCTGAAAATATTGTAGCCATGTAAGATTTTTAAACTCCTGAGTTAGTTCTTCCTGATGTTTCATGCTCCATTTGTTGTTTTCTTTATCTTTAACCAGAATGTCCTTATAGGTTGGCCAGCTCTGCCAGCCTAGCAGGCGTCTTTGTTTCGCCTCGATTGGGGACAGCCACTGGGGGGTTTTGGAATAGAAATAATTCCTGTACTTATTCCAGACTTTGAGGAGACTAGATCTTACGAAATGGTTACCAAAGTTTCCTTCCAGTTTTGACCTGCCATACCATAGGTACGCATGCCATCCCACCCTGAAATTGAACCCCTGGAAAAGATGCTTTTTAACCTCTCCCAGGCTGTTTACTATCTATGCCTCATCGGTGTGGGACCTACTACCGATTCCAAATGCGTCTGGGTATCGAGTAGACCTACCAGCCGAAGCTTGAAGATATTTCAGCTGGAGTTCCGTGGATCTGTAATGCTGTCCTCCCTCAGAGAATTCTTTGAGAACTTCAGGGCTGTTTTCCCTCTGTTTGCTGTGAGGCTGAGAGGCTGTGAGCTCTCAGCCAGAGCCTTGGGAGCCTTTCCCTGGAATTTCTGTTTCCCCGGACGTTCCTTTTCCCTGGATGCTATTGGGAAAAGAAGCTTTTCTACGGGACGAGCTGGTCTACGTCCTACAGTTTAGCTTCCTTGTGTGAGACTGCCCAAAAAATGGCTCCTTTCCCTCCCAGAGCCCTGAACAAGGGGCAGAACCAAAGCTTAATTAAGATGGACAGGTAGCCTGCCCTATGATTGCAAATGTTAACAGAAAGAAAATAAAGTTGGAGCTCCTGGTACAGCCATACCAGCATAGAACTGATTAATCAAATGCACATTGGAACATCCATGTACTTTGGAAAACTCCTGATTTTGGACACTCTTCACTCAGGTTTGTTGTTTGCATTCCAAGCATGATAGAAACAGGACAACAACAACAACAACAACAACAACACTCTGGACCGTGCCCTGACTTATAAGAAGCACTGCTTGACTATCAAGCAAAAAGTGGGTGCTAGAAATAACATTGTACAAAAGCTGACTGGCACAACCTGGGGATCAACCAGAAACAGTGAAGACATCCGCCCTAGTACTTTGCTACTGAATATGCATGCTCAGTGTGGAACACATCTCACCATGTTAAAACAATGGATGTGGCTTTTAATGAGACATGTCACAATATCACAGGTTGTCTGCGCCCTACACCACTGGAGAAATTATACTGTTTAGCCGGTATTGCACTCTCTGACATCCATTGGGAAGTAGCAGCCAGCAATGAAGGATCAAGACAGTGACATCTCCGGCCCATCCCCTGTTTGGATATCAGCCAGCATGCCAATGTCTTAAACCAGGGGTCCACAAACTAAGGCCCGGGGGCCGAATATGGCCCTACAAGGTATTTACCTGGCCCTCGCTCAGGGTCAACCTAAGTCTGAAACAACTTGAAAGCACACAACAACAACAATCCTATCTCATCAGCCAAAAACAGGCCCACACTTCCCATTGAAATACTAATAAGTTTATATTTGTCAAAATTGTTCTTCATTTTAATTATTGTATTGTTTTAAAGTGTTTTTTGCACTACAAATAAGATATGTGCAGTGTGCATAGGAATTCGTACTTTTTTCAAATTATAATCCGGCCTTCTAACAGTTTGAGGGACTGTGACCTGGCCCTCGGTTTAAAATGTTTGAGGACCCCTGCCTTAAACCAAGAAATAGCTTTCTAAGATCGACAGAGATACTTGCAGGAACACCTCAGCAAACAAGAGTCCAAAGTGGCAGGCTAAAACCTGGAACCTCAATCCAGGGCTGAGACCAGATGAAAAACTCCTTCCTGGGCACACAGAAGACAGGGCAACTTGGAAGGCACTGAGCAGGTTGCAGTCTGGCACCACGAGATGCAGAGCCAACCTTAAGAAATGGGGCTACAAAATGGAGTCCATGACATGCGATTGCAGAGCAGAGCAAACCACAGACCACTCACTACAATGCAGTCTGAGCCCTGCCACATGCACAATGGAGGACCTTCTTACAGTGTCACCAGAGGCACTTCAAGTGGCCAGCTTCTGGTCAAAGAACATTTATCATCATGCCAAGTTTCTAACTTTGTTTGTGTTTTTAAATACATTATAAATGTACCCTCTATTTGCTTCTGAAATGATAAGTGTTATTAGTGACTTATGATGACCCTATAATGGAGTTTTCTTGGCAAAATTTGCACAGATAGCTCTCCTCTGAGGCTGAGTGTGTGTCACCTAATGAAGATTTGAACTCTGACCTTCCAGAATCCTATTCCAACATGGAAACCATGCCAGCTTTCATTCAAAACACAGAGAAAGGCAATGGCAAACTATGAATTGCTTCTCCATTTTTCCACCCAAAGGAGGTGCAATGGGGGGGATGTGACACCCCAAAATGTCTTGGATTTCTAATACACTCTCCTAACTTTCCCCAGTCTTCCCTATTTGCCCACCTCTGCCATATACCAATTGACTTAAAATTGCCCCACCTTCTGTCACTTCTTCCTCCACTGCCTTGTTCTCCTCCTTCTCTTTCTTCTTCTCCTTCTTTTTCTTCCTGAACCGCGACCGGATCCCTTTTGACGTCCCTGCCTCTGGAACCGCTGCCGTTTCTGTCTTGCCAGGTGGGACTTGGGCATCAGTCTCTGCTCCAGGTCCCTCTCCGCTTGGCATTGAAGCCGGTGGCTCTACTGCCTCGGGCACAGGTTTGGCTAAGACATCTTCCTCGTGGTCCCACAAGCCATAGCTCTGGTAAAGAAAAGATGGGAGGACATATGAGGTTGACCTCATGGAGAGCAGCCCTCACCAGCATCCATTGCCAAAGGTTTTCTCCCAAAGGTTACTCTGATTCCATCTCAGAGCTTGGGGAAAGTTACTTTCGGAGGGAGCAGGTTGACCTGGGAGGCATCAGTGCTCACCAGCATCCTGAGTCTGATGCCATGGTTATCAAAATGTGTTTTTGCCCCAACTTTATTTTTCATCTTCATTGCTATGATACTTCATCTTGATGACAGGAACCTTCCTACCGGACAGATGTCAAGCTATTTTACCTCAGCAGACTGAAAGCCAAAACCAAGGTTACAACAACATCTGTTATAGAACTCCAGTATGCTGATGACAGCATCATCTGTGCGCATTCAGAAGAAGACCTACAAGCCACTCTAAACACCTTCGCAAAAGCATCCGAGAAGCTCAGCCTGTCCTTGAACATCGAGAAAACCAAAGTGCTCTTCCAGCAGTCACCAGCCAATCCCTCTCCAATGCCAGAAATACAACTTAATGGCATAACATTAGAAAATGTTGACCATTTCCACTACCTTGGCAGCCACCTCTCCACAAAAGTCAACATTGACACTGAAATACAACACCACCTGAGCTCTGCGAGTGTAGCTTTTTTTCTGAATGAAGCAGAGAGCATCCGTAGCGCTACCAAGGTGCTTGTTTATAAAGCTATTGTCCTCCCAACCCTGCTATATGCCTGCGAGACGTGGACTATCTACAGGCATCACATGCAACTTCCTGGAACGATTCCATCAGCGCTGACTCTGGAAAATCCTGCAAATCTCTTGGGAAGACAAGCGAACAAATGTCAGCGTGCTAGAAGAAGCAAAGACCACCAGCTTTGAAGCGATGATCCTCCGCCATCACCTCCACTGGACCAGCCACGTTGTCTGGATGCCTGACCACCGTCTCCCAAAGCAGTTACTCTACTCCGAACTCAATAACAGTAAACGGAATGTTGGTGGGCAGGAAAAGAGACTTAAAGATGGGCTCAAAGCCAACCTGGCATAGACACTGAGAACTGGGAAGCCCTGGCCCTTGAGCACTCCAGCTGGAGGTCAGCTGTGACCAGCAGTGCTGTGGAACTTGAAGAGGCACGAATGGAGGGCAAGAGAGAGAAATGTGCCAAGAGAAAGGCGCATCAAGCCAACCCCGACTGAGACCGCCTTCCACTTGGAAACCAATGCTCTCACTGCGGGAGAAGATGCAGATCAAGAATAGGGCTCCACAGTCACGTACGGACCCACCGCCAGTACACTGATCTTGGAAGACTATCCTACTCGGACAATGAGGGATCGCCTAAGTAAGGTTATCAAAAGCATCCGGCATCTGTTACCATGGTTACCAAGAGCATCTCTGGGTACCACTTTCTCCCAAAGGTTCCTCTGACTCCATTCCAGAGCTTTGGGAAAATTACTTTTGGAGGGAGTAGTTACCTGGGAGGCATCAGCCCTCACCAGCATCCTGAGTCTGAATCTTATCAAAAGCATCCTGTATCTGTTTCCATGGTTACCAAGAGCTTCCCCGGGTACCACTTTCTCCCAAAGGCTACTCTGACTCCATCCCAGAGCTTGGGGAAAGTGACATTTACAGACAACATCTAAACCTAAGGCCTGGTCAAAAGAGCAAGCTGACACTGTGGAGTTCTCATGATTTTCCATAGGTTGGGACTAGGAATGGGGGTTTGAGCCACAGCTCTGTCATGGGGCATGCTGGGAGTTGCAGTTTCCAAAAAAAGGGAACTTGTCCAATCTCTGGACTCCACTTTCTTTGCCTTACCAGGAGTAAGGATCGGTGGAAGAAGAGGGCCATCAGCTGGATCAGATCATACTTGATGTAGTTGTCAGTCTTCTCCACGCCAAGGATTCTGGGTGGGAAAAAGGCCTTGGCGTCATTGCGCACCAAGATGCTGTAGCTGTTCCAAGGGAAGAAGCCAAACTGGAAGAGATACTTGACCACCACCATCACCTGTGGATTCGACACACAAAGAGTCACAAATAGAAGTGCGCCGGGGTGGGTAGAGCACAGTCCATGAGCCACAAGCAACATCTGGCTCTGTGGCTCTTGAAATCTCCCAAGTTGGGGTGCATGAAACACACAAAAATAAACTACATGAGCCCCATAGTATCACCAAATGCTTCTGCTTTCCTCTACACTCCTTTTCAAAATAGTGAAAAAATATAATAATAATTATTATTATTCTATGTCCTCCAGCGTGTGTCTACGGCAGTGTTTCTCGACCTTCCTAATGCTGCGACCCCTTAATACAGTTCCTCATGGTGTGGTGACCATGAGGTGAATTACTTTTATAATTGTAATTTTGCTACTGTTATGAATCGTAATGTAAATATCTGGTATGAATGATGTATTTTTCATTCACTGGACCAAACTTGGCACAAATACCTGATATGCCCAAATTTGAAAACTGACAGAGTTGTGTATGTTGGGGGGTTGACTTTGTCATTTGGGAGTTGTAGTTGCTGGGATTTATAGTTCACTTATAATCAAAGAGCATTCTGAATTCCACCAGCGATGGAATTGAATCAAACTTGGCACAAAGAATTCCTATGACCAACAGAAAATACTGGAAGGGTTTGGTGGAGTTTTGGAGTTATAGTTCATCTACATCAAGAGAGCACTGTGGACTCAAACAATGATGGATCTCTAGACCAAACTTGGCACAAATACTCAATATGTCCAAATGTGAACACTGGTGGAGTTTGAGGAAAATAGAACTTGACATTTGGGAGTTGCGGCTGCTGGGATTTATAGTTCACCTACAATCAAAGAGCATTCTGGACCCCAAACTTCCTACACAGAACCTCCATGCCTTGAAGGGGCTCACTAGTGGGAACGTAGTCATCAAATAGTCACATGCAACATATGAAGATACTCACACTGAGTCACACAGGAGAGAGAAAGATGGAACCTTTCATCCCCTTTATAGCTACCTGCTGATAGGTCATCAGTAAAGGACACCAGCTGATAATAATTTATTATTATTTATTTACGGCATTTCTACCCCACTGTTCTCTATCCCGGAGGGCACTCAAGGCAGCTTACATGTATGCAACTATAAGAAGCCATAGGATATGTATAATTACAGACATTTAAATAGAGTTATAAAATACATTAAAACAGTGAGGTAACCCTCATATGGTTATGGCTCAGCCATTACCACACCCCTTAAGTACTGCATCATGACATTCACAGTCATACCCAGGTGCTATCAATATATTACATGTTCATTAAACAGTATTTTTTTTCTATAACTAGCTTGGGGATCTGGCATTGCCCAGCTTATTTGAAAAAGTCAATTTTTGCATTGTAAAAAATGCATAAGGTTGTGGGTGAACTACAACTCACATCATGCCAGGTTTACTCCGAAAAACTCCATCATTACTAAAAGTTTCTTATGTTGGGCAAGTTTGCTATTGCTGCATCATCAGTGGGGTTCAGTGTGCTCTCTGGATGTAGGGTAAACTACAACTCCCACTATAGTGAGTCAGTCCCCTCAAACCCCTCCAGTAGGTTGAGTTAGTCCAGGGGGTTCTGTGTGGCAAGTTTGGTCCAGGTCCATCATCAACGGAGGTCACAGTTTCTATGGTTGTGGGTGAACTACAACTCCCAGAAAGGAATATCAGTTCCATCCCCATCCCCCCCAAACCCCTCTAACAATCAAATTTTGACATATCAGGTATATGTGCCAAGTTCGGTCAAGATTCATTGGTGTTTGGGTTCACAGTTCTCTCTGGATGTAGGTGAACTACAACTCCCACAAAGCATTTCTAAATCTCCCAAATTCACAAATCAAGGTGAATTTTCCCCAAAAAGACCTCCAATATTTTTTTCTTTGTCATGGGGATTCGGTGTGCCAAGTTACTTCCAGAATGCTCCTTAGATTACAAGTGAACTATACATCCCTGTATCTACAATTCCTATAAATCATGGTGAATTCTCTCCAAACTTCTCTAGTAAGTTCAATTGCTGATCAATTCCCCTGTTTGCTGTGTGTCATAGAAATGGGTAAGAAAGGGTTAAGGGATAGGTAGTAGGTGGAGTCATGCAAATTCCACACCTATGGAGAGAGGAAGGAACCCTGGGATGTCTATTCTGGAGGAAAAATAGAACATCTAGGATGAAATGGTCCCCGTATGAAAGCCTTCACTTGGGTGATGGGCAGTATGGTGTTTGTGGAGGACATTTGCAGGGCTCTTGGACATGTTCACTATGCTCGCCATATCCTGCAATGTTACTGGAAGGAGGGACTTTGGTGTCTTCTGAGCGGTGGGAGCTATAGCTGTTTGTGGAAGCAGGAGCTTGTCTCTAAGTGAACACACCAGCCACATACAGACATATATATATTCACTTTTAATGTGTATAGATGTATAAATAGATAGATTAGAAATGCTTTGCCATTTCTATCAAACATTCCAACTTGCCTCCGTGTAGACAATGGCTGTCATCCAGAAGCGCTTGCTGGGCCTGGGGATGGAGAGCATGGCCCACAGGAAGACCAGGATGGGAAGCACCACCGAGACCACCGAGGCTGTCACCATGTTGTTGAGGATGATGATGAAGTAGCACAGGAGGTCCGAATGGCCGGCCAAAAAGTGGTAACAGGCCAGCAGGAGCCGCACCAAGCGGTTACGGGATTGGTAGAAGCGCTCCGACTCCTCAAGCTCTTTGAAGGAGACGTGCCTAAGATGTGAAGGGAGGTGATGAAAGGAAGAAAAATGACCAATTATTATATTTTTAAGTATTTATTTATTGTGTCATCAGCAACCAGACCATTGTATTACATTTCTAACAGAACAAAATAAAACAAACAGATAAAAAAACACAAATTTTGCAAACTTGGTAGTTGATTAAATGTCCTTTGACCAGTATCTGGCCACTTGGAGTGCCTCTGGTGTTGCCGCAAGGAGGTCCTCCATTGTGCATTTGGCGGGGCTGAGGTTGCATTGCAGCAAGTGGTCTGTAGTTCGTTCTTCTCCACACTCACATGTCGTGGATTCCACTTTGTAGCCCCATTTCTTAAGATTGGCTCTGCATCTCGTGGTACCAGAGCCAGTCTGTTCAGCGACTTCCAAGTTGCCCAGTCTTCTGTGTGCCCAGGGAGGAGTCTCTCATCGGGTATCACCCACGGATTGAGGTTCTGGGTTTGAGCCTGCCACTTTTGGACTCTCGCTTGCTGAGGTGTTCCAGTGAGTGTCTCTGTAGATCTAAGAAAACTATTTCTTGATTTAAGTCGTTGACGTGCTGGCTGATACCCAAACGGGATGAGCTGGAGATGTCTCTGCCTTGGTCCTTTCACTATTGGCTGCAACTTCCCGGCGGATGTCAGGTGGTGCAATACCAGCTAGACAGTGTAATTTCTCCAGTGGTGTAGGGCGCAGACACCCCGTAATAATGCGGCATGTCTCATTAAGAGCCACATCCACTGTTTTAGTGTGGTGAGATGTGTTCCACATTGGGCACGCATACTCAGCAGCAGAGTAGCATAGCACAAGGGCAGATGTCTTCACTGTGTCTGGTTGTGATCCCCAGGTTGTGCCAGTCAGCTTTTGTGTGATATTGTTTCTAGCGCCCACTTTTTGCTTGATGTTCAGGCAGTGCTTCTTGTAGGTCAGAGCACGGTCCAGAGTGACTCCCAGGTATTTGGGTGCGCTGCAATGCTCCAGTGGGATTCCTTCCCAGGTAATCCTCAGAGCTCGGGATGCTTGTCTGTTCTTAAGGTGAAAGGCACATGTCTGTGTTTTGGATGGATTAGGGATCAGTTGGTTTTCCCTGTAATAGGCAGAAAGAGCACCTAGAGCTTCGGAGGACTGCTGTTCAAATTTTTAAGAGCAAGAGAAAAGAATGTAAACTGGTGAAAGAAAAAAAGAAGGAGGATATAGAAGATGAACATTTGGAATCATGAATGTTAGATGACCATGATGCCAAAATGTATTTCCTGTTAGTTCTGATATATGATGGAACTCTTGTATCTTGGGGGATACATTCCTGCTATTACGTGAAATAATTACATTAAATTATTATAGAGTTGCATTGGAGGACCTAGAGATCCCTAAGCGGTTGATGATGATCATGATAATTTTCAGAAATATTAAAAATTAACTAGGTATTTTTAATTACAAAAATGTGAGTCAAGCACTGAAAGGGTTAAATGAATGCAATGACTCAGGAAAAGCTGCAGTTCAATATAAACAGGTGTGCTTGTAGCTTAGTTCCCTCAGTCTGTGAGACGTCTGTGGGAGAAGATTCCTCAGTGTGGGAGAAGGCCTCAGTGGGAGAAAGGTCTCAGTGTGTGGTAGGCCTCGGTGTTAATAGGCCTGGTGTGAGAAGGCTTCAGCGAGAGAAGCCCCAGGTTGAAGGCCTCGTGTGTAAAGCTCCAGTGTGAAGGCTGCTGTGTGTAAAAGGCTACTGTGTGAAGCTCCTGTGTAAGTTCAGTGTGAGAAGAGGCTCTGTGAGAGTGAAGCTGTTTGTCTGCACAAGAAAGAAGCCCAGCATGGAAGCAAAGAAGGAAGTATAAAGAACTTTGTTTTATGGAAACCTTGTAAATAGGGCAACCATATTATTTAGCTATAAAGAAAAGCCTCCTAAGGAAGAGATAACATTGGTTTGTGTGTTTTTGTTCTTTTTTGTCACTTTGAGCTACTGGTGCTAGGTCACGCTGCTGCTAATAAGTTACTCTGCTGTACATTTATGAGGAGGGTCTTTTGTTAATAAGCCCACTCGCCCAGCAATAATACCAATAAAATAATAACAATACATGTCTCCTCATGGTTCAAGGTGAGGCACAACATAGTTAAAAACACAGCATCATAAAAAAACTCAGTACAATAAATATATTAAAACACATTTTGATAAATGCATCTACACTGTGGATTTAATGCAGTTTGGCACCACTTTGGCTGCCATGGCTCAATGCTAAAGCATCTTGGGAGTCATAGTCTGGCATTCTTTGGCACAGGAGGCTAAAGGCTTTGTTAAAACTACACATCCCAGGATTCCATAGCACCGAGCCATGGCAATTCAAGTGATGTCAAACTGCATTTCTGCCCAAACCGATCTTGTTACCCAAATCTGCCTCTAGACTTAGATTCTGTTTTTGGCCTGCTTTCCATGTTTTCGGTACCTGCTCCGGAGCAACTCGCTTGCAGTTCGGGGTCGGGTCACGGATTCGGCCAGGAGTTCTTGGGAGCTGCTGGGAAGAAGGAGCACCATGCCATCCTGGGACTCGAATTCAGGGCTCCGCTCGTTGCTGTTGCTTCGGGTGTCATAGCCGGTGGTGTCGGTGCTAAGCACTTCCACAGCTTCACCCACACTGTGGAAAAGGGGGATGGAAGAGAGAGGTCATGGGCCTGTTCTACCGGAAGGCATGGAGGATACACCTACACTGTAGAGTGAAAGCATTTTGACACCACTTTAAACCCCATGGAATTCTAAGAGTTGTAGTTTTACAAGGTATTTTGCCATCTCTGTCCAAGACTCTTGCTGCCTCTACAAACAATAACTCGTAGGATTCCATCTCATTGAGCCAGGACAGTTCAAGTGGTGTCAAACTACATTCACTCCACAATGTAGATGTACCTGGAGACTCTCTTCACCCTCACCCCTATGCACCTGCCTGGAAGCTGTGCTGTTGGGAGACCCTGCTGCTGTACCCGGCAGTGCGGTATCCACTGAGGCCTGGTCTGCCGCTACTGGTTGGTACAATCTGTCCAGGCCGCTCCTCTGAACCTCTTCTGCCTACAAAAGAACAGATGGAACATCACCAAAAGAGAGAAAAGATGGAGCATCATTAGATGAGAGAATTGGAAGAAGCAGCAGCAAATGGACCACCATCAGATGAGGATGGATGGAGTATCACCAAAGGAGAGAATGGATGGAGCATCACCAGATAAGGGAATGGATTGGGGCATCACCAAAGGAGTGAATGGATCCATGCTCTCATCACCAGATGAGAGCATGGATGGAGCATCACAGAATGGACCACTATCAGATAAGGATGGATGTAGCATTACCAAAGGAGAGAATGGATGTAGCATCACTAAAGGAGAGAGCATATGGAGCATCACCAGATGAGAAAATAAACGGGACATCGCCAAAGGAGAACTGATGAACCATCACAAAAGGAAAGGATGGATGGAGCATCACCAGATGAGAGCATGGATGGAGCATCACTAAATGGACTACCATCAGATGAGGATGAATGGAGCATCACCAGATGAAAGAATAGGTGGAGCATCATCAAAGGAAAGAGCGGATGGAGCATCACCAGACGAGAGAATGGGATGGGGTATCACCAAAGGAGACTGGATGGAGAATCACCAAATGGACCACCCTCAGATGAGGATGGATGGAGTATCACCAAACAAGAGAACATATGGAACATCACCAAAGGAGAGACTGCATGGAGCATCACCAAACAAGAGAATGGGTGAACCATCACTGAATGAAAAGACAGAGGGATGTATCATCACCAAATGAAAGAAGGCCCATCAGGTAACTGAATGAGAGACGTAATGGACCACCCCCAAAGGAGAGAACAGTTGGACCGTCACAAGATGGAGCAGCACAGGATGAGAGAACAAGTGGGAGCATCACCAAACGGAAGAAAGGATGGCTTACCTGATCCAACTGTTGGGTGAGGACGTATCTCTCTAGCCCCAAAACGGTGGACAACTCCTCATGTTCCTTAGTAAGGGCCCGTAGCCATTGGGTCAGTCCATCCATGGTGGCCTGGCACAGTACCCACAGGAAGCGGAGCACGTTAAGAACCCGCTGCAGCACGTTACTCTTCCCTAGAACAGAAGATGGATTGAAGTGAGGGATGGTCTGGCACGACATTTGTGTGCATCAGCTACAACTGTTCCATTTGTTCTTCATGACATCCCTTCTTCTGCATCATCCCTTCCACCCACCAGGAGATGTTTCTTCCTCTTCTTCATCCTGTTCTCCTTCTTCTTCTTCCTCCTCCTCTTGGCTGCTGGTCCTGTCCTTCAATGGGCCACGCCGGACGCCCCCTTTGCTGTCCTCCCCTACAAGACAAAGGATTGATCAAGCACTCTGTCCATGCACTCTACTGATATGCCTCATAGCCCTCCAGAAATGGGCACATTGCACCTGAAAGCCCCCTTGCATTCAGCCAAAATGGGATGGAGTAATGGAAACAGGAGAGACTACCTTTGGCTTCCTCTAAGGCCTCCTGCTCCTTCTCTTGCTTCTCCCGTTCGTGCAACGCTGACTTGGTGTTGGTCACCCAGGCCTGATAGGCCAGCTGGAAGGAAGAAAACATGTAGGATCAGCAATCAGAGAATAATACCTGTATTTCTTGCTGTTTGGTAGTCCAGACTTGTTTTCTGTAGATTTACTGATAGTGGGATCATTGCAATGATAAATAACAGTGGTGACAGTGAGTCGCCCTGGAAAATTCCTCTCTTGAAGTTAACAATTCCATAGCTTCCATTGCCCACAAACAACTCAGTTTTCCATTGTTTCATTGCATTTTCAGTGAACTTTCCAATATTTTCACAAACCCCGATGACATCTAGACATTTGATAATCCAACAATGTGGCAGTGAGTCAAATGCTTTTTTGTAATCAATCCAAGTTGTATAGAGGTTTGTTTTGTGGCTTTTGCAATTCTCCAGTATCATTTTGTCAACCAGAAACTGATTTTTTGTGCCCCTACTTCTAATTTATTAAGTTTTATCATAATACAACGAAAGAGTGAGAACAATAGCAGTGTAGAGAAAGGAGAGAAAGATAGGGTCATATAAGAAAAAAATGGCAGTATAGAGTTGTGCAAAAAGTCCAAAAAAATACAAAAAATAGGAGAAAAAAAGAAAGAAAGAAAAAAAGGAATAAAAATTGACTTCCATTCCATCTTCTTGGATGATATCTTCCTGTTACTAAAATATATATATTACTTTAAAAAATGTCTCTTGTGTCTTTTATTTTTGCAAGTTCTCCAGATAGTCATGAAGAGAGTCCCAATTCATTCTTTTTAAAGTATTACCAGTATTTTTCTTCAACAAAAAAGTCAATTCATCCATATCCTTTATTTCCCTTATTTTTTCTACTCACCCTTCTACGGGTGGGTTTAATTCTTGTTTCCATTCTCTTGCGAAAACAATCCTGGTGGCAGTCGTAATATATGTAAAAAGTTTATCTTCTTGTTCATTTAATTGTGCCCCTACTTCTTTTATTGCCATTGCCGTTGTTGTTGTTGTTGTTATTATTATTATTCTCCCACCCTGGAGAATAATATAAACCCCACTCGCCGAATTTCCAACAGAACTCACAACCTCTGAGGATGCCTGCCATAGATGTGGGCAAAATGTCAGGAGAGAATGCTTCTGGAACATAGCCATTCAGCTTGGAGAACTCACAGCAATCTATTATTATTATTATTATTATTATTATTATTATTATTATTATTATTATTATTATTATTGGCAGGACCTTACCTGGAAAGCACTCTGCTTGGGCGGCTTCTGGTCATCCAGGACTGACTCCTCATCTTCCTCGCTGTCCGTCTCAAAGAGGAAGTAATCTCCCGAGTGCAACACTGTGAATCCCCCCACCCCAAAAAAGAAGAACATTAGGAAACTGTCTTTATTTTTCCCAACTTGGGAAACCAGGCAAGAAAAAAAGAAAACGTATCCGCACTGCAGAATTAGAGAGGGTTTGATCCACTTTCCAGTTGTCATGGCTCCGCCCTGGGATTTGTAGTTTGGAAAGGGAAATATCGACTCTGCTGGAACCAGGAGCATGCAACGGGAGGAAGGCAGGACACTAGGGAGCAAGGTAAGTACTTCACCAAACTACAATTCCTAACGTTTTATAGGACGGAGCTGTAGCAGCTGAAGTGGGATTCGATTTAGGAAAAGGACCATGCAAGGGGAAAAGTCCACACTGCAGAATTAGAGTATAATGCTAAACATAATTCTTTTGTCTATGGAATAATTGGAATTCACTTTGGAAAGGGTCCTATGGGGAAATCCGCATTGTAGGTTTGCAATATCATGGCTCTAGTCCACGCATGGGTAAACGTTGCCCCTCCAGGTGTTTTGGACTTCAACTCCCACCATTCCTAACAGCCTCAGGCCCTTCCTTTTCCCCCTCAGCCGCTTGAGCGGCTGAGAGGGGAAAAGGAAAGGGCCTGAGGCTGTTAGGAATGGTGGGAGTTGAAGTCCAAAACACCTGGAGGGACAATGTTTGCACATGCCTGGACTAGTCTATGGAGTAATTTGGCTGTTCTAATGGGGAGTTCTTGCATTTCAGAGGTCTGGACCTAACACTGGAAGAAAAGGACCTTTGGAGAAATGCTAAGCACCTTTTCCAAACAATTACCCCGGAAGATAGTGCACTAACTCTCCAGTGTGACACAGCCCAATTCAAAGGTTGGGAAGAGCTGATGCACAGCGAAGCGATTCCCCTCCACCATTCTTCAAACCGAAGCAAAGGGGGAAAAAGGACCATGCAAAGAAGAAAAATTGAAACCCAACTTCAAGATGGAGAAAGAAAAACTTTTCCTTTGCAAAAGAGTGGAGTCCGGAAGTCGAAAAGAGAAGGAGATTCACTACAGATTTATGCCTCTTATTGAAATAATCTACACTAAGGACTTCCTTTGCTTCCTCTTGCATGAAAAGCAGACCTTCTGTGCAAGATTAGTATGGCTTTGCATTGCCAAATGTTCCTGAAATACACATGTTGAATCCAGGTCTCCGTTTCATGCTGTTTCCAGGATATTATGCTCCATGCACTATACAGCTGTTAGATATATTATTATGTGTAGCACTTTCTGCTTTTTTGCTCTTTGTTCTCTAGTCGGGTGCTCTGCTCATTCATCAACTGTTCCTGGCATTTTTGTGTTTGGTTTTAAGTTTGCAAACCGCTCCAAGATGGTCTTAAATGTACATGCATGCACACAAGCACATGCTCACATGCTTTGCCCCCTCCTCTTCCTCACATATGACAATATTCTCCCCCAAATGCACCCTTTCAATAAGAAGGTCTTACAACTCATTCCTTGCTAAACATGTGCATAATGCAAAGTCTCCAAAGAAGAACTTGGAAAAGTGATATGACTGGGAATACAACTCCCATAATCCCCATGCAGCCATGGAGGCTAGGGGATTCTGGGAACTGCAGTTGGAAAAAAGTTCTTTCCCCATAATTGGGTTGCTGTGAGTTTTTCAGGCTGTCTGACCATGTTCCGGCAGCATTCTCTCCTGACGTTTCACCTGCATCTGTGGCTAATGGCATCTTCAAAGGTTCTCTTGACAGTGAGCCAAGTGGAGCATGTGCATATATATATTTATCTGTGGAATAATGTCCAGGGTGGGAGAAAAAGCCCTCGTCTGTTTAAAGCAAGTGTGGATGTTGCAGTTGGCATGCTTGAGTAGTATTAAGCAGCCTTGCAGCTGCAAAGTCAATCAGTGAGGGTATCTGCATAGAGGTAGCAAGTGTAGTGATATATATATACCTGTGGAATAATGTCCAGGGTGGGAGAAAGAACCCTTGTCTGTTGAAGCAAGTGTGGATGTTGCAATTGGCAAGCTTGATTGCACTGAGTAGCCATTAAGTTTACAAAGTCAATCAGTGAGGGTATTTGCATAGAGGTAGTAAAACAAGTAGAGTGTATACTATATATTATAATGTCCAGGATGGGAAAAAAAACCCTTGTCTGTGTTGTAGGTTTCTGGGCTGTGTGGCCATGTTCTAGAAGCATTCTCTCCTGATGTTTCGCCTGTATCTGTGGCAAGCATCCTCAGAGGTTGTGAGTGTTAATGTTGCAATTGCAAGCATTACCATTAACTTGTTTTAACACTCACAACCTCTAAGGATGCGTGCCACAGATGCAGGCGAAACGTCAGGAGAGAATGCTTTTAGAACATGGCCATACAGCCTGAAAAACCTACAACCACCCAGTGATTCCAGCCATGAAAGCCTTCGACAGAACCCTTATTTGTTTAAAGCAAGCGTGAATGTTGCAATTGGTAAGCTTGAATAGCACTGAGTAGCCATGAAGCTGCAAAGTCAACCAGTGAGAGTATTTGCATAGAGGTAGCCTGGCCTCTGTTGCCTGGAGGCACTCTATGTTTGGGAGGTGTTAACTGGTCCTTGATTGTTTGGAGCTCTCCTGTTTCTGAATGGTGTTCCCCATTTAAAGTCTTGATCCTGGTATTTTTCAATACTGGTAACCAGACTGTGTTCACTTTCATGGTTTCCTCCTTTCTGCATAGAGACAGCCTGGCTGATGTTGCCTGGAGGCATCCTCTTTGGGAGGTGTTCACTGTCACTTGATTGTTTTCTGACTCGATTTCTCCTGCTTCTGAGTAATGTTCCTTCCTTATTTAGAATTGGAGATGAACACCAACCCCCAGATTAGGACACGATTAGACTTAATGTCTGGGGAAACCTTTACCTTTACTATACACACACACATTCCACTAGCTTCACTGCCAACAGAACCTCTGAAAATGCCTTTAGCCACAGATGTAGGAGAGAATGCTGCGAGAACATGACCAGACAGCCTGAAAAACTCACAGCAATCCAATGGTTCTGGCCATGAAAGCCTTCAACGACATATCTTTCCAAAAGTTTAAAAAGTAGAGAAATCAACCACTTTCTGGTATATTGTCGAAGGCTTTCATGGCCGGAATCACTGGGTTGTTGTAGGTTTTTCCGGGCTATATGGCCATGTTCTGAGGAAAGTGTTCTTGCCATACATCAAGGGAACCACTGACCGCATAGGGAAACTGATGAGGAAACACAACATACAAACCACTTACAGACCCACCAAGAAAATCCAACAAATGCTACGTTCAGCAAAGGACAAGAGGGATCCTCTCACCTCTGCAGGAGTCTACTGTGTACCATGCAGCTGTGGACAAGTCTACATAGGGACCACCAAACGCAGCGCCCAGACACGCATCAAGGAACATGAAAGGCACTGCAAACTACTCCAACCAGAGAAATCAGCCATAGCAGAGCACCTGATGAACCAACCTGGACACAGCATATTATTTGAGAACACAGAAATGCTGGACCACTCTCACAACCACCATGTCAGACTACACAAAGAAGCCATTGAAATCCACAAGCATGTGGACAATTTCAACAGAAAGGAGGAAACCATGAAAATGAACAAAATCTGGCTACCAGTATTAAAAAACTCAAAAATTACAACAGCAAAACAACAGAGGGGAAACAAACAGGCACATAAAATCACTCTCAACAAAAGATTCCCCCCAGGCACTTCCAAGCCATTGAATGCTAATTAAGGTGATCAGTTGAAACATTCACACCTAGCTCCAGCAGACAATAGTCCTTTGTCCCACCCTGGTCATTCCACAGATATATAAACCCATTTTTCCTACTTCCAACAGACCTCACTACCTCTGAGGATGCTTGCCATAGATGCAGGCGAAACATCAGGAGAAAAATTGCCTCCAGAACATGGCCATATAGCCCGGAAAAACCTACAACAACCCACTTTCGGTAGTGTGCATTATATGGACTTTGAAGAGGGAGGAGGGTGCAGAACCTTGGATGCTTTCAAACCACAAAACAAACATTGCAATTTCCAGGCATTTCGGATTTCAGCTCCCAAAATCCATTGGCTTCTGGACACTGAAGTTCTATAAACCTAGAGGACTGGGATTGGGATTTGATGCTTTCAAACAAAAAAAATCCAAAAAAATAAAGGCGCACACACAAATATTCCGGATGGGTTCGATCCATGCCGACTTTACCACTATAATGCCCCCTGCTTCCTATTGTTCTTCTATCCAACTTAGCAGGAGGAGGTATCTCTGAGCCGTGTGGGTCTCCTTCTAGGAAAAGCAGACTACGGTTACCCTGCCCATGTGCAGAGTTCAGTACAGAAGTCAAAGCACAGCTGGCCATGGATAAGAATGTGTGCATCCGATGCCCCTTGGTTCATGCAAATGCAGCATGCAATGCACGTCACTGGCCTAAGTAACTTCATGAAGGATCACAACATGGACCAAGTTCATTTTTACGTGACAATATACCCAACGGCCACATTGGCTTGGGAATGGGGAAAATATATTTTCTTCTTAGTGGCCATTTCCCCAATTCCTCTTTAGTTAGCATAGCAGTTTCATATGGAATCCTGGGAGTTGTAGTTCTCAGCTAGATCAACCCCTGCCTCACTAAACTACAAATCCCAGAATCCCGTGGTGAAAGTGGCACCATACAGCTATCACTGGCCATGCAATAACAAAGACGTCCTTTCATACAGCACAATTTTAGTGCTACAATTGCTCTTGAATCACCATGGTAGGTGCCTATGGAATACTAGGAGTTGTAGTGTTCCACTTGAATTCTGCTGCCTGCCCCAAACTACAAACACTTGCATTCCCTATTTAAAGCGGGGCAATATGGTCAGTTAAGGGTGCAATGAAGCGATTCAGAAGAGTGGCATGCAGGATGGAGGAGATGGCTCGAGGCCACATAACCCAACGGCAGATATACATATATGGCTGGTGTTAGCATTGGCCCCAGATGCCCAGCGAGAGTTAGCGCCATGAGTCAGGATTAATGCGCTTCGAGTCAGACTGTACCTGCGGCGTGGTCAAGCCACGGACGCCACCAGCGCTTCCTCTGGTCCTTTTTGGAGCCTGTTTCTGTGGAGCGGGGCATAAGGAGAAGTGAAGGGGTGGCCCAAAAGACACACTGGACAGGGTTCAGAGAAGGACAATCAAGCTGGTCAAAGGTCTGGGAACTATGAATCCCTTTGTGGGAGCTGGAGATGCACACAAGAGGAGATTTGCACCAGGGCTGATACTCTGAAAAGGCCATCAAATTGGAAACCAGGAACCCCATTAAGAAGTGCAAAGATTGGATCATGGAAAGGGGAAGCTGAAGAGGCGACGCTATGGCCATCTTCAAATATCCAGAGGGATTTTATGTCGGAAATGGGAGTGCATTAGTTGTCTCTTCCCTCCAGTGCCAAAGGGTTGGACTAGACCGGTGTTTCTCAACCTTCCTAATGCCGTGACCCCTTAATACAGTTTCTCGTTTTGTGTTGACTCCCAATCATAACATTATTTTTGTTGCTACTTCCTAACTGTAATTTTGCTACTGTTAAGAGTTGTAATGTAAATATCTGAAATGCAAGATGCATTTTCATTCACTCGATCAAATTTGGCACAAATACCCAATATGCTCAAATTTGAATACTGGTTGGGTGGGATTGATTGATTGGTTGGGTGGGGAGGGTGGGGAGGGACTGATTATGTCATTTGGGAGTTGTAGTTGCTAGGATTTATAGTTCACCTACAATCAAAGAGCATTCTGAACTCCACCAACAATGGAATTGAACCAAACTTGGCACACAGAACTCCAATGCCCAACAGAAAATATCAGAAAGTTTGGTGGGCTTTGACCTCAAGAGAGCACTGTGGACTCAAGCAATGATGGATATGGACCAAACTTGAAAATTCAATATGCCCACATGTGAACACTGCTAGAGTTTGGGTAAAATAGACTTGACTTTTGGGAGTTGTAGTTACTGGGATTTATAGTTCACCTACAATCAATGAGCATTCTGAACTCCACTAATGATAAAATCAGGTCAAACTTCCCACACAGAATTCCCATGTCAAACAGAAAATACTGGAAGGGTTTGGTGGCATTGACCTTGAGTTTTGGAGTTGTAGTTCACCTACATCCAGAGAGCACTGTGGACTCAAACAATGATGGATCTGGACCAAACTTGGCACGAATACTCAATATGCCCAAATGTGAACACCGGTGCAGTTTGGGGAAAATAGAGTTGACATTATAGAGTTGTAGTTGCTGGGATTTATAGTTCACCTCTAATCAAATAGCATTCTGTTCCACCTTGTCTCCTGTGCTATTCTAATAATATAATATAATATAATATAATTAATATAATATAATATATTGTATATACATTTAATATTTATAATATTATAATGTAATGCAATATAATAATAATAATATGATATTATAATTATATATTTATATTACATTTAATATTACTAATAATATTACAATATAATTGGTATAGTACAATATAGCAGTGTTTAATGCTGATATTGTACTATGCTAATAGTATAGTGTATTGTATGTTTATATACCTTGTAAGCTGCTCTGAGTCCCCTTCGGGGTGAGAAGGGCGGCATATAAATGTCGTAAATAACAAATAAATAAATAAATAATAAAATTCCGAACCTCACCAATGATAGAATTGGGCCAAACTTCCCACAGAGAACCCCTATGACCAACAGAAAATACTGTGTTTTCTGATTGCCTTTGGTGACCCCTCTAACACCCCCTCACGACCCCTACAGGGGTCCCGACCCCCAAGTTGAGAAATGCTGGACTAGACGGCCTTTGGGGGCCCCTTCTAACTGGCCTGGAAGCCAGAGCCTCTGAGGAGTGACTTGGCGATGACAGAATATTGCAAGAAAGGGACACGTAAACCCAAGTTTAAGTATTTCAAAGAAGGTCATTTTTTTTCTGCCACTCTAAAGACTAGAACGCAATGGAGTCATGCATTCAAGTGGCAGGAAAAAGGATTCCACTTAAATATTAGGACAACCCTCTTTATGGGAACAGCTGGACTGTGGAATTATGTGTAACAGAAGTTTCGAAAGACTAAATGGGCATCTGTTGAGAGGGATTGGGTGCTGCCTCCCTGCCTGGCCAAAGGGGGTTGGACTAGATGGCTTTTGGGGTTCCCTTCCAGGGGAGTTTGCCACAAAAACAGGGATCTGCATGAGATGCCATTGCTTTGTACACCTCGATGGGACAAAGGGGAGAAAACTTATGGGTGATATCCCTCAGAAAACAGCTTCCCATTTCTCATCCAAAAGGACTCTGCACCTGTTTGATCTGTCTCCGGAGTCTGCTCCGCTGCCAGTTGTCCTTGGTGGTACTTCTCCTGCTTGGACCGGATCCGCTCCATCCTACAAAGCAACATATCGGTCACCGTATGGAGTCCCCATTTATTGAGTTCCAGGGTCCCATTTCTTCCTAAGCTTTCCTTGCTTTCGTTTGGGTAACTCTTCCAGGCGATCCAACAGCAAAGGAGAACCCACCCACTTCCACCCCGGAAAATATTTCTTTATTCCAGATATACTTCCTGCAGCTTGAGCTTCCCTTACCCAAACTCCAAAAACGTCCAAAACCCAAACTTCTAGTTTGTTTTCCAGCCCTGTGTTTCATGCAAACACACGAGGGGACTCCAACACACAGCACAGCAAATAGTGAGGAGTGCTGGGAGTTGTAGTACAACAACTACAGAGCATTTCTTGGTTCCTTCAAGGCACAAAACTCACTGTCGCTTGAGTTGGTCCAAGGATTTCTTCTCTGCTTGGTGATGGGAGCTCATCCACTTGATCATCCTGGCCTTGTAAAGGGCAAAGCCCCTGCAAAGAGAGATGGGCAGAGAGGTGTCATGCAGCAGCTAAAAAGGCCAATGCGATTGTGCCTTCCTGACCGGAAGAAAGGGGTTGGACTAGATTAGTGGTTCTCAACCTTCCTAATGCCGTGACCCCTTAATACAGTCCCTCATGTTGTGGTGACCCCCAACCATAATATTGTTTTTGTTGCTACTTCATAACAGTCATTTTACTACTGTTATAAATCATAATGTAAATATCAGATATGCAAGATGTATTTTCATTCACTGGACCAAACTGGGCACAAATACCCAATGCAACCACATGTAAATGCTAGTTGGGGGAGGATTGATTTTGTAATTTGGGAGTTGTAGTTGCTGGGATTTACAGTTTACCTATAATCAAAGAGCATTCTAAACTCCACCAGCGATGGATTTGAACCTAATTTGCCACACAGAACTCCCATGACCAACGGAAAACACTGGAAGGGTTTGGTGGGTATTGACCTTGAGTTTGGGAGTTGTAGTTCACCTATATCCAGAGAGCACTGTGGACTCACACAATGGTGGATCTGGACCAAACTTGGCACAAATACTCAATATGCCCAAATGTGAACACTGGTGGAGCTTGGGGAAAATATACCTTGACTTTTGGGAATTGTAGTTGCTGGGATTTATAGTTCACCTACAATCAAAGAACATTCTGAACTCCACCAATGACAGAATTGGCTCAAACTTCCCACATGGAATCCCCATGACCATCAGAAAATACTGTGTTTTCCGATGGTCTTTGGAAACCTCTCTGACACCCCTTTGCGACCCGCTCAGGGGTCCCGACCCCCAGGTTGAGAAACACTGGACTAGATGCCCCTTGGGTGCCCCTTCCAAGTCTAGGATTCTACGATTCACCCTAGGAATTGCCCTTTGTCCACCTACCTAGATGCTTGCAAGGCCGAGGCCTGGAGGTCGGCTGCAACATGGAGGAAATAGTAGCTGAGGAAGACCCTGCGCTGGAGGAGCAAGAAAAAGAAGCAAATACTGTCCCAAATAATGCCGGCTTCTTCCACGGGCAGCGCACAGTCCTGGTTCTTGTTCAGATCCTTGGCTGGCAAAGAAGGAGGAGGAAAAGAAAAGATTATGAGCAAGAAATCATCATCACCACCACAATCCTATTTATACCCCAATTTCCTTTTCTGATGGAGACTTTATGTCTTTCCATCCTCACTTCTCCTAGCTTCGACCTTCTAGCTACTCTCATGCACATCTCAATTTTCAAAACCTTGAAACAAAAAAGGATTTACTGCAGCACATAATGCACAAAAGTGCCTTCTTTGTCATTTGGCCTTATTTTATTTATTTATTTATTTACAGTATTTATATTCCACCCTTCTCACCCCACAGAGGACTCAGGGCGGATTACAATGTTCATATACATGGCAAACATCCATACAACATATATAGACAGACACACAGAGGCTATTTAATATTCCAGCTTTTTCATGAGGGTATTCTGGCCACCAGGGGAGCTGTCGCTTCACCATCCATTTGTGACACTGATGAAGTACTTCCTCATTCTTTGAATGCTTGCTGGAGATTTTTATGGCCTTGTAAATTAGTTAAATTACTTTCACACATTCTGAATTTAAAAATTGGAGTGCCAGTGCCAGTTACTGCCATTGATTTTAATTGCGTCATTGTGTTGTTGTTAATGTCATTGCTTTGTTTTTGAGTTATTTTGCTGTTGTTGTTATTGTTTTTACTATTGTATTTGGGCTCGGCCTCTTGTAAGCCGCACCGAGTCCTTCGGGAGATGGTAGCGGGGTACAAATAAAGGTTTATTATTATTATTATTATTATTATTATTACTCCAAAACGTCAATCAGCCAAAGTCGTGCAATGGCACACAATTAGTTGTTAAAAAGCTGGTGAACATTCTAATTGAGGAAACAATTCTGTTTGGTCCTCATAAAGATGAAGATGTACTACTTCCACAAATACCACTCATTCCGACCGACATGGCGTTTGAGTTCAGACAATTGTCAATACGCCTTGCACTTGCTATTACTATCAATACAGCACAGGGGCAATCTTTGCAATTGTGTAGTTTGAATTTAGAGAACAGTTGCTTTTCTCATGGGCAATTATACGTTGGTAAATTGTTGGATCTTTATGTTTATGAAGAAAACGGACAAACCAAAAATGTAGTCAACCCACTAGCTTGACAATACAAAATGATTTCTGTATAAAACTTATTTTTCTTTCATTCCACATAGACACAGCAACACAAGGCAGGGTACTGAGTTGAATTATGTGTTTTCAAGGTGAATCTATGTTTGCTACAATACTTTTATTTACTTTCACATTTATTCCAGCCACAGACAAATAGGTTATATATACAGAGCTTGGCATGCAATGGTTGACTTATTAATTATGCTGGTGCTCAGGGGTTGGCCCTGGTTAGCACTTGGATGGGAGGCCGGCAAGGAATCCCTCTACTACGGACATATAGACATAATAATTTTGCAAATACTCACGGTCATAATAGCCCTTGACGGTGCAGGCCAAACTGAAGAGCTGGATCACCCAGCAAAAGTTGTTCTGCATTTGCTGGACAAAGACGCAGGACAGGAGCTGGTCGCAAAGAAATCAAGGGGGGAGGGAATGGAGCCATCATATAAGAGAGTGATGCAATATTTGAAAAAATAAATGCAGGTACATTGCAATCAAATGTGCTGGAGTTCTGCAAACACTGTCCACCATTAGCAGTGTGGTGGGATTCCATCTCAATGGGTTGGTGAATCCACTCTGGTTTTTAATCCAGACTTTAAAGAAGCAGTGCATCTTGCATCATGCCTTTAAACATTAGACTAAAACCCAAAGCAGATTCAGCAGACAGACAAAAGAGCCATCAGTTGCCACTGTCCTGTCCCCTAATAGTGCATTTAAAGTTCAGATTAAAACCCAAAACAGACTCTACACACAGACAGAAGACCCACCCAGCTGTTACTGTCTTATCCCCTAAAGAAGCATCTTGGATACTGTTTTTATGCTGTTTTATATTTTGTTGTTCTGTTTTTAACTGTATGTTGTCTGGGCATGGCCCCGTGTGAGCTGCCCCGAGTCCTTTCGGGGAGATGGACGCGGGGTAAAAAAATAAAGTTGTTATTATTATTACTAGCTGTCCCCTACCATGCATTGCTGTGGCCCAGTCTGTGTATATGTGTTTTGTGTGTGTGTGTGTATATATATGTGTGTGTGTATATGTGTGTATATATTTGTGTATTTGTATGTATACATGGATATTGTGTATATGTGTGTGCTTATCTATATGCATATTTGTGTGTATATATATGTGTATGTATGTGTATATGTATATATGTATGTGTGCATGCATATGTGCATGTGTGCATATATATGTGTGTATATATGTGTGTATGTGTGCATATGTGTGTATATATGTATTTGTGTGTTCATGTGTATATATGTGTGTGTGTATGTATATGTGTGTGTTTGTATATATATGATGTGTGCATGTGTATATGTATATGAGTGTATGTGTGGTGTATTTTGGGTTTTTAAGTCTGCTTGCTGGGGTTTTGTGTGTGTTTTTTTAGGGGTGATGGACACTCGTTGGACTGTTAGGTGTGTTGTGTCCAAATTTTGTGTCAATTCGTCCAGTGGTTTTTGAGTTCTGTTAATCCCACAAGCGAGCATTACATTTTTATTTATATAGATTATTTAAAGTTCAGACTAAAACCCCAAATAGATTTTACATTCAGACTAAAGAGCCATCGGTTGCCATTATTCTGTCCTCACAAGGAACTATGCATCCTACTGCCTTTAAAGTTCAGACTAAAACCCAAAGCAGATTCAGCACAAATACAAAAAAGCTATCTCAGCTACCAGTATTCTGCCCTCTAGGAATGCCTTTGAAGTTCAAACTAAAACCCAAAGCGGATTCTGCATATAAAGAGCCATCAGATGCCATCATCCCATTCCTTGCCAGGAGCCCCCTGTGGCACAGTGGGTTAAACCCCTGTGCTGGTAGGACTGAAGACCAACAGGTCGCAGGTTCGAATCTGGGGAGAGGCGGATGAGCTCCCTCTATCAGCTCCAGCTCCTGTGGGGACATGAGAGAAGCCTCCCACAAGGATAGTAAAACATCAAAACATCCGGGTGTCCCCTGGCCAACGTACTTGAAGACAGCCAATTCAATCACACCAGAAGCGACTTGTAGTTTCTCAAGTTGCTCCTGACACAACAAAAAAATCCCATTCAAGGAAGCAGTGCATCTTAGTACCTTTAAAGTTCAGACTAAAACCTAAAGCAGATGCCACACAACGACAACAGAGTTACCCAGCTGCCATTATCCTGTCCTCTAAGAGTGCCTTTAAAGTTCAGATTAAAACCCAAAGTGGGTAATGCACAATGACAAAATAGCCACCCAGATGCCTTTACCCTGCCCCCCAAGAATGCCCTTAAAATTCAGACTACAATCCGAAGCAGACTTCTAGGCACAGGGTCCTACCGCAAGCAGGTTCTTGACGATGATGACGGTGACGTTGTAGATGATGAGGCAGTCCCAGAGCAAGAGCCGGGCGCGGAGGGGCTTCCGGAGCAGGACCGTCCCGAAGAGCAGCAGGTAGAAGCAAGCTGTCAAGTAGCCCAAGCCGAAGACGCTGATGCGGTTGGCGCCAGCCACAAAGACGATGACCAGCACAAACCAGAAGAGGTAGCGGAAGACGCAGAGCTTCAGCATGTCCAGGTAAGACCTTGGAAGCGGAGAGAGACCAAGAGCGGATCACCCTCAGGCACAACTTAACCCTAAAGGACCCCTTATCACATAGTGTTGAAATGTTGAAAGTCTAAAAGTAAATATGGGTCTAAATATACACACCAATGATGATGATTTTGGGTCTCCCTGATACAGAGCTCCAAAGTACTCCAAAATCCATGAGGCTAAGATGGCGCTTTCTGATGGTTCTATGGATACAAACCTGCTTGCACACACCAAAGTATTCCGAATAATGCCATGGTAACTATACACATTTTGTGCATAATGTTGCAGTAACTTTATACACTGTGAAATTGTGATGTTATGTTGACTGTTTATTGTTTATGTTATGTTTTGCACTTGGTATTTTGCACGTTACACCTTGAGTGTTCTGTGAGACGCTCCGAGTCCCTCTGGGAGATGGTTGGAAACTCACTCCAACATAAAATATTCTATTGTCGAAGGCTTTCATGGGTTGTTGTGAGTTTCCCAAGCTGTATGGCCCATGTTCCAGAAGCATTCCCTCCTGACATTTTGCCTGCATCTATGGCAAGCATCCTCAGAGGTTGTGAGGTCTGAAGTTCTGAGGATGCTTGCCCCAGATGCAGGCGAAACGTCAGGAGAGAATGCCTCTAGAACATGGCCATATAGCCCGAAAAAACCTACAACCCAGAGTTCATATTACTAGACTTGCAAATCAGCTGTCTGGTTTCCCCCCCCGGGGTCTTGACCCCCAGGTTGAGAAATGCTGCCTTAAGGTCCAACTCCCTTCACCAGGGTAACACAACATAGTCAAAGCCCTCATGACAAAGAGCCATCCAGCCATAGATATAGATAGATATGAATCACACACACATAATATGTATATGACAGATATAGTATCATAGATTTGAAAGGGACCCCTAAAGAAGGACAATTATATGTTGCATGTTCCAGAGTAGGCAAACCAGACACTCTCCACATCAACACTGACAAAGAAACAACAAGAAATACTGTTTACCCACAAGCATAAAGAAATTACATATATTAGAAACAAACACTTTCCCATTTATTTTCCAGATCAACAGACTGGGCCACAGCAACGCATGTGCAGGGGACAGAAATTATATATATTTGAAACCAACACTTTCGCATTACTTTATTTTCCAGATCACCAGATTGGGCCACAGCAACGCGTGGCAGGGGATGGCAAGTAAATAAGAAGAAGAAAAGAAACAAATAATAATGGGGGCACAGAAGGTTTTACAAATAGACGATACATTGAGCTCACCTGCAATTAACAAAGTTGGGCACTGGGTTGGGTTCCCCCCGCAGCCCTTCCAGCTGTTCCTGGTTATCTCCGGCCAGGCGCCTCCATTCCTCTGTCTGTTCATTGACAAACACCTTCCATTGCTGGGAGGCACCGAGAAGGAGCAAGAAATCACCTGCAAGGAAGCATGAAGAGTATTTTAAAGGCATCTGTTTAAAGCAAGTGTGAATGTTGCAACTGGAAAGCTTGTATAGCACTGAGTAGCTATGAAGCTTCAAAGTCAAGCGATGAGGGTATCTACATAGAGGTAGCCTGGCCTCTGTTGCCTGGAGGCACCCTCTGTTTTGGGAGGTGTTAACTGGCACTTGATTGCTTGTTGTCTGGACTTCTCCTGTTTCTGTGTGGTATTCTTTCTTTACTGTCTTGATTCTGCTGTTGTTTATTTGTTTATTTATTTGTTTGTTTGTTTACAGTATTTATATTCCGCCCTTCTCACCCCGCAGGGCACTCAGGACAGATTACAATGTACATATACATGACAAACATTCAATGCTATAGACACACAACATATATAGACAGACACACAGAGGCTATTTAACATTCCAGCTTTTTGCATGAGGGTATTCTGGCCACCAGGGGAGCTGTTGCTTCACCGTCCATTTGTGACACTGATGAAGTACTTCCTCATTCTTTGCATGCTTGCTGGAGATTTTTATGGCATCGTAAATTAGCACTCCCCGCATAAGCGGTACCTAAATTTCCTACTTGACAGATGCAACTGTCTTTCCAACTGCAAAGGTCGACAGCAAGCTACACAATTTTGGTCGGGAGCTCACTCCGACCTGGGCTGGCTTCAAACTCATGACCTTTTGGTCAGTAGTGATCTTAATGCAGCTGACTCGCAGCTACCTGCGCCCCAGTCCCGGTTTAATACTGGTAGCCAGATTTTATTCATTTTCATGGTTTCCTCCTTTCTATTGCAATTCTCCACCGGATTGTGGATTTCAGTGGCTTTTCTGTGTAGTTGGACATGGTGGTTGTCTGAGTGGTCCTGCATTTCTGTGTTCTCAAATTATATTCTGTGTTCAGGTTGGTTCATCAAGTGTTCTGCTATGGCTGACATTTCTAGTTGAATTATTAAAAATGTCCTAAGTGTTTCAGATAAGGGTCACTCCACCTGCAAAGGTCTCTTGTTATGTATTAAGGGAGTTATATTAAGGCTGAGAGTTAACTGATCGCATACAGATGTGTAGAAAGACCCCACCAAGTAGCCTTTGGAGTTACTCACTCATTAAATTGATGGAATTGGGTTTCATGAAGAAGTCGGGTAAATACATCCATTTGATGAGGACAGAGTTGATGGGAATGGCGTGGCTCCATCTCCAAGGATAGTCTGAAGCAAAGAGGCCAAAGTATACCATCAGGAGCCAAAACAATACCTTTTTTCTACTTCCAAACATTTCTTCCTTGGGTTGCTGTGAGTTTTCTGGCCTGTCTGGCCATGTTCCAGAAGCATTCTCTCCTGACATTTCACCCACATCTATGGCAGGCATCATCAGAGAAAGACTTACCTCCAGCAGACAAGAGTTCTTTCTCCCACTTTGGACGTTATTCCACAGATATATCAACCCCACTTGCCTAGTTTCCAACAAATCTCACAACCTCTGAGGATGCCTGCCATAGATGTGGGCAAAACATCAGGAGAGAATGCTTCTGGAATACTGCAGACAGCCCAGAAAAGTGAGCCCAGAAAAGTGATTCTGGCCATGAAAGCCTTCGACAACACGTTTCTTTCTCCCTTCTTCCCTTTAGAGGTAATCTGGGTTTGGACTGCAATGCCCATCATCCCTCCAAGACATATCTAAGATTCTCTAGCACCAATCTACAGCACACCAAAATCAGATATTTTTTGTGTTCCAAATAATTTTATTAAGTATTTCCAAATAACAATAAAATAAAAAAACACATTGACAGAATGGGGGGTGAGGGCAAAAGGAAAAGAGAAAAAGAATAATATGGGGATAGTGGAGTTGTTGTTGGTTAGTTAGACATTTACAAATATCTAACAGATCATAAAGAAAGAACAAAGAAAATAGAGGATGTTGGGATGTGGTTGGAGGGTTTCTTATACAAAATTATCTTCATAAACCTGTCAGCAGCTTATGATACTGTAAATCATTGCCTCCTCATGAAAAAAAATGTGTAATATCACAAAGGACAACCATCTACCCGCCTCATAGGAAACCTGCTACAAAACCGGAGCTTTTTTGTTGAGTTCCAGGGCCAGAGAAGCAGACGGCGGAAACAGAAGAACGGCCTGCCTCAGGGGAGAGTGCTTGCTCCATCAATGTTCAACATTTACACAAATAATCAGCCGCTGCCAGAAGCGACAGAGAGTTTCATCTATGCTAATGATCGTGCCATCACCACCTAAGCAGGGAGCTTTAAAATGGTTGAACAGTTCTCCAAAGCTTTAGATGCTCTTCCATCTAAAACTGGCGTGTGCTTTTCACCTTAAGAACAGAGAAGTATATCGAACTCTAAGGACAACCTGGAAAGGAATCCCACTTGAGCATTGCAGCATACCCAAATACCTGGGAGTGACCCTGGACCGTGCTCTGACTTACACGAAGGACTGCCTGAATATCAAGCAAAAAGTGGGCGCTAGAAACAATATCACATGAAAGCGGACTGGCACAACCTGGGGGTCACAACCAGACACAGTGAAGACATCTGCCCTGGCGCTTTGCTGCTCTGCTGCTGAGTATGCATGCCCAGTGTGTAACACATCTTACCACGCTAAAACAGTTAATGAGACATGCCATATTATCACAGGACGTCTATGCCCCATACCGCTGGAAAAATTATACTGTTTAGAGTCCCAGTGTTTCTCGACCTTCCTAATGCCACGACCCCTTAATACAGTTTCTCCTGTTGTGGGGACCCCCAACCACAAAATTATTTTTGTTGCTACTTCTGAATCATATTGTAAATATCTGATATGTGCATGTAGGATGTATTGTCATTCACTGAACCAAATTTGGCACAAATACCCAATATACCCAAATTTGAGTACTGATTTTGTCATTGGGGAGTTGTAGTAGCTGGGATTTATAGTTCACCTACAATCAAAGAGCCTTCTTAACTCCACCAATGATGGAATTGAACCAAACTTGGCACACTACCTACATGGCCAACATTGAATACTGGTGGAATTGGGGCCCCTATTTTTTTTATTTCTGGGAGTTGTAGTTCACCAACACCAAAAAGGAAGAGATGGACAGGTAGAGGGGTCTTCAGTCTTCTCTGCCAAAAGGGTTCCTTTTGTATTTTCTGATGGTCTTTGGTGACCCCTCTGAAACACCCCTTGTGACCCCCCAGGGGTCCCAACCCCCAGGCTGAGAAACATTGGTTTAGATGGTATTGCACCACCTGATAACCATTGGGAAGTAGCAACCAACAATGAAAGCACCAAGGCATGGACATCTCCGGCTCATCCCCTGTTTGGATATCAGCCAGCATGCCAATGCCTTAAATCAAGAAACAGCTTCCTAAGGCCTACAGAGACTTCACAGGAACAAAAGTGGCAGGCTAAAACCCGAACCTCAATCAGTGGCTGAGACTGAATGAGAGACTCTCCTGGGCACACAGAAGACTGGGAAGCACTGAACAGACTGTGCTCTGGCACCACGAGATGCAGAGCCAATCTTAAAGAAATGGGGCTACAAAGTGGAATCCACAACATGTGAGTGTGGAGAAGAGCAAACCACAGACCACCTACTACAATGCAACCTGAGCCCTGCCACATGCACAATGGAGGACCTTCTTACAGCAACACCAGAGGCAGTCCAAGTGGCCAGCTTGGTCAAAGGAAGTTTCTAACTTTGTGGGTTTTTTGTCTTACAATATAACTGCATTCTCAATTCACTTCTAAATAAATAAAAACCATTTTTCCAACTCAATTTTCATCTCTGTTCTATTGGCACACATTACATAAGATACTGAAATTCCAAGAATTTTCATTTGAAGTCTAATCATTGTATCTTCTTGTTCCTTTTTATATTGTCGCGGCTGTTAGGAATTGTGAGCATTGAAGTCCAAAATACCTGGAGGGCCCCAGTTGGCCTTTGCCTGTTGTAACCCATTCGGTATTTGTCACCAAGCATCTCAAAATCAGATAATTTAATGGCATTTGTACGTCTCCATGCAGGCGTGGGATCCGTGGTCAGAGTTTCACAACCTTCTATGCTCAGTGTCTGTGGACGATGGGACTTCTGCTTACCTTTGCAGAGACCCGGAGGGATGCCAACACAGAGGAGGTACTGGAAGATGAGGAAGAGGGCCAGGAAGAGGCAGTACTTGGGCCAGAGCCTGGCAATAGCCTGGCGTCGGCGCCGGGTCAAGATGACCACCAGCCAGCAGCCGTGGAAGATGACCATGAAGTTCATGCGCTGCCCAATCACGTTGACCGTCAACAGGAAGCAGATCTGGGCAAGGAAAGAAGGAAGAGAAAGCATAGGAAGCAATAAGGAAGGAGCTCCAGGGACAGCACACTGGAAGAGGATTCCAGGGAAAACATGTTGTCCTTTGGACTGCAACTCCCAGAATCCCCAAAACAATGTGGCGCAGTGCTGGGATATAGTGAAGTCATAGACATATTCCCCCAATTTGGTAGAACTTGGAAAACATTTCTATCTTTGGATTACAACTCCCAGAATCCCCAAGATAATGTGGCTCTGGTGGCAGGACACAGTGAAGTCATAGACAGCTTTCCCCAACTTGGTAGATCTTGGAAACATTTATGTTTTTTGGATTACAACTCCCAGAATCCCCAAAACAATGTGGCTCCAGTAGTGGGATATAGCGAAGTCATAGACAGCTTTCCCCAGCTTCATAGATTTCTGCCTTTGGATTATAACTCCCAGAATCCCCAAGACAGTGTCAGCATAAAAAGGAGGGTGGGATGTTGATAAAAGTAATATAGAGGCCATTCCCAGATCTTGGACAAATTGGCTTTCAATTGTTCTGAAATGGGGAGTTCTGGGAGAAGTAGTCCAAAAGGGAACATTATCAAACTTGAATGGATCTCAGGAGTTGCAAACCAAAAGGAAACGTCTTAAAACTTTGACAGCCACGCAGTTTCTGGGAGTGATTCTGGGCAAGTCACTCTCTCGGTCCCAGAAAAATACAACAACAACAATATCCCTTGAAGGAATTATTCTAATAATAATAATAATAATAATAATAATAATAATAATAATAATATTTAAGGAAATTCCAATAATAATAATAATAATAATAATAATAATAATAATTCCTTGAAGGAAGCAGTCCAATAACAATAACAGCAACAACACCACAACATCCCATGAAGGAAGCATAATAATAATAATAGTAATAATAGTAATAATAGTAATAATAGTAATAATATCAATCCTTGAAGAAAGCATTCTAATAATAATAATAATAATAATAATAATAATAATATCCCTTGAAGGAACTATTCCAATAATAATAATAACAACAACAACAACAACACTACTACTACTACTATTACTACTACTACTATTAATGATAATCGTAATAATAATAATAATAATTCCTTAAAGGAAGCTTTCCAATAACAACAACAACATTCCTTGAAGGAACTCTTCCAATAATAATAAAAACAACAACAATAATGATGATAACGATAGAATCTCTTGAAGGAAGCAGTCCAACAACAACAACAACAACAATAACAACATCCCATGAAGGAAGCATTCCAATAATAATAATACAATATAAAATTTTATTACGGTCGCTGACCATCAAAAAGCAGGGCACAACAACAATATCATTCCTTGAAGAAAACATTCTGATAATAATAATAATAATAATAATGCTTGAAGGAACTATTCCAATAATAATAATACTAATAGCAACAACAACAAGAACAATAATTATATTCCTTAAAGGAACTATTCCAAGCTCAGACTCCCAGCCCAAACATGTAGCACTACATCTCCCATCATTCCCACCCATAACTGCACCTATAATGCTGTTCAGCACATCTGAAAGGCTGCTCTGTAAAGTTTTGAAAGAAAAGGAGATACAATGCAAATTCCAAATAAAATAAAACAAAAAGCAGGTACCTCCAACCCAAATTTGTAGTAGAAGTAGTTGATGAAGTACTTGATGCAATAAAGCAGGCCTTTGTCCAGATTCTGGCGATTGCCGTCCTCAAAGACCGCCTGGGTCGAAGGTGGTACCAACTGGTGCTGCTTCCGGTAATATTCCTGGCACCGATAGACGATGGCCTCGAAAACCAGTAGCACCAGTACCTGCAAATGATTCTGGAAAAGTCCAAAGACAGAACGCAAATGAGTAAAAGACGTAGACCGGGATACAACGTATAACGGTGCTCCATTCTGTGGATAATCAAATCCGCAAATTATACGATATTCTGCAATCATAAATGTTGGTCTCTCGTCGAAGGCTTTTATGGCCGGAAGCACTGGGTTCTTTCTCCCACACTGGATATTATTCCACAGGTATACACCCCATTTACCTTACTGCCCACAGAATCTCTGAAGATAGCCACAGATGTAGGCGGAATGTTAGGAGAGAATGCTGCTGGAACATGGCCATATAGCTTGAAACGCTCACAGCAACCCATAAATGTTGGTGGATGAACAGCCAAAATCATCATCAAGCTTGAAACGAATACTTCAACCCAATGGAAAGAAGCCTTCCAACTTACCTGGATGTAACCCAGGTTGGGAAAGCCCTTCCGGATGCCAAACCAATTGGCCGGATCGATGGGGCCCTTGTAGAGCGTGGAGTTGCCAATCTCCTCCAGCAAAAGGTTGGTGCTGTTCAGCAGAGGCTGAGAAGCAGAAGTCAGATTTACATCATAATCTATCTGCATAAAAGTGAATGTATGTGCGTATGTTTGTTCCATAAATGTCCCTCCATGGCTTGATGGATCTCGACCAAACTTGGCACACATACCCTTCATTGTGCAACTTAAAATACTGGTGGGGTTTCAACTCAATGATCTACACTTTTAGGGGCTAACCGCCCAAAAATGAACCTTGGGATGCAACATACAGATGGAACCACAAGAGGGCATTGTATAATATTCCCTCTAGGAATCTCCATTTTTAAAACCTGCATTATTATTTAAAGTGTCCTAAGCATTTTGTTTGTGTGGTTGTTATAGGGCAGCCTATATAAGAAATACAACCACTATCAACACAATAGTGATTCAAAGGTCCTCCTCCATGCAGTTCTCTGGACCAGTGTTTCTCAAACTGTGCTCCTCCAGGTGTTTTGGACTTCAACTTCCAGACATCCCAGCCAGCTTACCAGCTCTTAGGCACTGAGGAGGTTGAAGTCTAAGACGCCTAGAGGATCTCAGTCAGAGAAACACTGCTCTGGACAATTCAAGGTTGAGCATTAATTGATTGCATACAGATACCAATCGGGATCAGCAATTAAACGCAAGGAAATGACAGATCACATCTCTTTGTCACAGTCACTGTTGTTAAGATAGATGAAAGCTGGATGGAGCGATGGATGGCTGAACAGATTAACAAGTAGATAAATTTATGGATGGATAGATAGAGAGATGGATAGATGGATAGATGGATGGCTAGGTAGATGGATTGCTAGATAGACGGATGGATAGATAGATGTATTGATGGATAGACAGGGATGGATAGGCAGAGGGATGGATGGGTGGGTGGATAGATGGATGGACAGAAGGATGGACGGAAGGATGGATGATGGATGGATGGAAGAAGGGACAGAAAGGTGGACAGATGGATGGATGGTTGGATGGATAGATAGATAGATAGATAGATAGATAGATAGATGATAGATAGATAGATAGATAGATAGATAGATAGATAGATAGATAGATAGATGGATGGATAGATAGATGAATAGACAGATGGATAGAAAGATGGATGGATGGATAGATGGATGGATACATAGATGGATGGATAGACGGATTGATAGATAGACGGATGGATAGATAGATAGATAGACAGACAGACAGACAGATATTAAGAGATACTTGTGATGTATGTCTTTAATTGATCTTGTTAAGGTATTATATTATATGTTAATGTTTTTAAATGTTTTATGCTGTTGTTGGCATTAAATTGTTGCCTCTATTAACTGCCCTGAGTTGCCTGCAAGCTGAGAGGGGTGGTATAAATATAGTAAATAAATGGATGGATGGATGGATGGATGGATAGATAGATAGATAGATAGATAGATGGCTAGATAGATGATAGATAGATAGATAGATAGATAGATAGATAGATAGATGGCTAGATAGACGAATTGACAGATAGGCGTATCGATGGATAGACAGAGAGATGGATTGGCAGAGGGAAGGATAAACATGGCTGGATGGATGGGTACAGGGAGCATACAACCCCTCTGTTGCATCAGCTCCATTGACTGCCAATCTGCTACTGAGCAGAATTCAAAGTGCTGGCTTTAGTCTATAAATCCCTAAACGGTTGACAGATGAAAGGATAGATAGATGGATAGCTAGATGGGTGGACAGACAGAGAGAGAGAGATAGATGAAAAAATAGATAGACGAATGGATAGATAGATGAATAGACAGATAGACGGATGGAGGGTTAGATGGATGAATAGAAAGATGGATGGATAGATAAACAGATGGACAGAAAGACAAATGGATAGATGGATGGATAGATAGACAGGGATGAATAGACAGATGGATAGATAAACAGATGGGTAGATAGATGAATGGATAGAAAGATGGATAAATGGATAGAAAGACGAATGGATAGATAGACAGATGGATAGATAGACAGGGATGAATAGACAGATGGATAGATAAACAGATGGGTAGAAAAACAGATGAATAGAAAGATGAATGGATAGAAAGATGAACGGATAGATAGATAGACAGGAAGGGATAGATGGATAAAAATAGATAGAGGAATGGATAGATAGATAAATAGACAGAGAGATGGATGGAGGGATAGATGGATGAATAGACAGACGGATGGATAGACAGATGGATGGATAGATAAAGAGATGGGTAGATAGACAGATGGATAGAAAGATGGATGGATAGATAGATGAATGGATAGATTGATAGACAGACAGACGGATGGATGGATGGATGGATGGGTGGGTGGATGGACAGACAGACATGTGGACAGATTGATTGATGGACACATGGATGGAGGTCCCTCTCTCTACCTTTGTACAGTTTATGTAGTAGTCTTGTGGGTTGACCACGTTCAGCTGGTAGAGCATCTTGCAGACGATGATGATGCAGACCCAGACGGTGGAGAGGCAGGAGGCCATGTGGCAGAAGCTGCTGTATGGGATGGCAAACGCCCAAAGGACCACCAGCAGGAGGTTCATCACTGACACCTAGGGCAACACAAAAGAAAAAGGATCATTGTCTTTTTAAAACTACATCTTCCAGGTCATCCCCTGGGAATTTTCAGTCCAAAAAGCCATTCTTTCCCAAACTTAAGAGCAACACTCAAGACCCTGTGGAGAATGGCTGCACAATCCAACATCTTCGCTGCAGAACTAATATGTTTTGACACCGCTTTAAACTGCTGTGACCCAATGCTATGGAACTGTGGGAGATGTAGTTTGGTGAGGCACCAGCAGTCTTTGTCAGAGGCGGCTAAAGGCTTTGCAAAACTACAACTCCCATGACCCTATAGCAGTGTGCCATGGCAGTTCAAAGTGGTGTCAAACTGAATTAATTCTAAGGTTTAGAATGATGAGCCCTCGATATTAAAGGAAGGCAATGGAAAAACCTCCTGTGAATGAACTCTTGGAAATGGGACTAAAGACTATGAGAGAATGGGGTTCAAAGCCTGTCTCGTCCATGGGAAACGTCACTGTATGATTCTGGGCAAGTTGCACTCTTTCAGCCTCAGAGGAAGGCTAGGGAATACTTCCCAGGATTAAATTCTGGAGCATTTGCGTTGTCGAAGGCTTTCATGGCCAGAATCACTGGGTTGCTGTGAGTTTTTCGGACTATATGGCCAATATGTTCCAGTAGCATTCTCTCCTGATGTTTTGCCTACGTCTGTGGCTAATGGCATCTTCAGAGGTTCTCCTGACAGTGAGGCAAGTCGAATGTGTGCGTGTGTGTGTGTGTGTGTGTGTGTGTGTCGGTCGAATAATGTCCAGGGTGGGAGAAATCAAGTGTAAAGGTTGCAATTAGCAAGTTTAAATAGCATTGAGTAGCCATGAAACTGCAAAGTCAATAAATGATGGTATCTGCATAGATAGAGAGATAGGGCAGGATATAAATTATTATTATTATTATTATTATTATTATTATTATTATTATTATTGTCTGTTTGAAGCAAGTGTGAATGTTGCAATTAGCAAGCTTGAATAGCATTGAGTAGCCATGAAGTTAGAGAAGTCAATCAGTGAGAGTATCTTCAAAGAGGTGGCCTGACCCTTGTTGCCTGGAGGCACCCTCTTCTCTCATGTCCCTGCAGGGAAGCTGGAACTGACAGACAAGAGCTCACCCCGCTCCCCGGATTCAAACCACCACCCCCCTTCAGTCAGCAGCCCTGCCGGCATAAGGGTTTACGCATTGGACCACCGGGGGCTCCAATGTTGCAATTAGCAAACTTGAATAGCTTTGAGTAGACTTACAGATGCAGAGTCAATCGGTGAGGGTATCTGTATAGAGGTAGCCTGACCTCTGTTGCCTGGAGGCATCCTCTGTTTGGGAGGTATTAACTGGCTCTTGATTGTTTACTGTCTGGGGTTCTCCTGTGGCCAAATTTGGTGGCAATTCGTCCAGCGGTTTTTGAGTTATGTTAATCCCACAAACTAACATTACATATATACGTATTGTGGGATAATAATATTGTACAAAGTATGTTGTACAATATTATTATACCACAATACGTATTTATTTATTTATTTATTTATTATTGGCTTACAAGAAGGGCTAAAATCTAACAAAATTTAAAAGCAATTTAAAACAATTTAAAAACAGCAATATCAAACATTAAAAGCCTGTCGAAACAGGTATGTCTTACATGCCCTGCGGAAAGCTGGTAAGTCCCGCAAGGCACGGACTTCAGGTGGCAGAGTATTCCAGAGTGATGGTGCCACTGCTGTGAAGTCTCTGCGTCCGGTTGCTGTTAGACACGAGGTCTTGACACTGGGAATTTCCAATAGATCTTGGTAGGGGGTAAGGCGGTCCCTCAGGTACATCGGCCCCAGACCATGCAAGGCCTTAAAGGTGAGTACCATCACTTTGAAAGTGATCCGGTGCTCAATTGCAGCTGCAGTAAGATTGGTGTTATGTGGCATCTCATCGGAATTCCCGCAAGAAGCCGAGCAGCTGCATTTTGTACCAACTTGAGCTTCCGGATCACCAACAGAGGAAGGCCAATGTAGAGGGCGTTACAGTAGTCCAGTCTTGAGATGACCGTGGCCTGGATCACCGTAGCTAGGTCGTCCCTGGACAGGGAGGGGGCCAGCCGTCTAGCCTGCCGCAGGTGAAAAAAGGCGGTTCTGCTAACGGTGGAGACCTGGGCCTCCATCATCAGCAGAGGGTCCAAAAGGACTCTCAAACTCTTTACCAATGATGACGGGCGTAGGGTAGGCAGCTGGATATCCCCACTGCCCGGTCGACCCAGCCATAGGATCTCCGTCTTTGCTGGATTCACCCTCAACCTGCTGGCACGCAGTAACGGCCTCGAGGCACTGATGGATACAATCGGGTACAGAGTCCGGTTGGCCTTCCATATTCAGCACCAGCTGAGTGTCATCAGCGTACTGGTAACACTCAAGCCCAAAACCTCGAACCAGCTGAGCAAGTGGTCGCATATAGATGTTTTGTTTTTTGGCTTTTTAAGTCTTTTCTGCTGTGTTTTTCAGTGTTTTTATGAGTGATGGTCACTCATTGGCCTGAGAGGTGTCTTGTGTCCAAACTTGGTGTCAATTCGCCCAGTGGTTTTTGAGTTATGTTAATCCCACAGACGATCATTACATTTTTATTTATATACCATATCATTGTACCATATCATAAGTTGTTGTATATACAAGATATTATATTACAACATTATTAGTATTACATACAACGGTTCTTTCTCCCACCCTGGACATTATTCCACAGTGATATACACACTCCTCTTGCCTCATTTCCAACAGACGCTCTGAGGATGTCATTAGCCACAGATGCAGGTGAAACATCAGGAGAGAATGCTGCTGGAACATGGCCAGACATCCCAAAGAAACTCACAGTGCATTTGTTTGAAAATAGGACTCAAGACCATGAGAGCCTAAGGTTCGGATCCTTGCTCTATCAATTGGGAGATCTTGGGCAAGTGGCACTTTCTCAGCCTCAGAGTAAGGCAATGGCAAACCTTGAAGGCTCTTGGTATCTCTTTCCCCTTTGTTTCACACTCACCTCCTGCAAAGACACCCAAATGACGTAAAGCGCCACCAGCTTCAGGACGTGGAGTTCGAGGAGACGCAATACGAAGACCCGGAGTCGGCCCAAAACATCTGAAAAGGTTCCTCCTAAGACCATTAAGCGCTCCAGCACCAGGCCCCACTTGCTGGGCACAACATCTATGGTGGCAGAAACAGAAATGGAATTTGGTTTTAACATTTGAGGCACGGACATGTGGCTTTTAATCCCACAAATATATATAAAGACCAGAAAGAATCTGAATCCAAGAGTTGTGGGTGGAAAATGTTATCATCATTCTGTTTATTATTGTTATTTTACTGCCGCAAACACAGTATGTCACAGCAAACAAGATCTATATGCTGGATTTCGTATCACAAAATCACAAGTTGAACACAGTCTAGGACTGTGTGATGTATTTTCAAATGATGCGCGCAGATCCAAGTCAGGTGGCCTTTTGCAGTTGACAGACTGTGAATTTGTCAATGTTTATTATTTCCAAATGAAGGCTGAGGTCTTTTGGCACGGCACCCAGTGTGCCCATTACCACTGGGACCCCTGTACTGGTTTATGCCAGAGCCTTTGCAGTTCAATTGTGAGATCTTGATAACAGCTGAGCTTTTCCTGTTATTTTTCCTCAATGCGACTGTCACCTGAAATGGCAACATCAATCATCCAAACTTTTTTCTTTTCCACAATCATGATGTCCGGGACTGTGGTGGAGCCGGCTGGGAGTCAGCTACATTAAGATCGCTACTGACCAAAAGGTCATGAGTTCGAAGCCAGCCCGGGTCAGAGTGAGCTTCCAACCAATTTGTGTAGCTTGCTGTTGACCTTTGCAGCCCGAAAGACAGTTGCATTTGTCAAGTAGGAAATTTAGGTACCACTTATGCGGGGAGGCTAATTTACGACTCCATAAAAATCTCCAGCAAGCATGCAAAGAATGAGGAAGTACTTCATCAGTGTCACAAATGGATGGTGAAGCAACAGCTCCCCTGGTGGCCAGAATATCCTCATCAAAAAAGCTGGAATGTTAAATAGCCTCAGTGTGTCTGTCTATATATGTTATGTGTCTATGGCATTGAATGTTTCCCATGTATATGTACACTGTAATCCGCCCTGAGTCCTCTGTGGGGTGAGAAGGGCGGAATATAAATACTGTAAATAAATAAATGTCTGGTGTACTGTGTTCCAAAACTTTGTCAGTCTATATTCGAAAGTCCCACAGTATTTTTGCATGTTCATTTCCCACTACCTTTGCAAGTTTATGATCCCTTTACCAGTTCTTTACTACTGGCAGGTGGTCCTTATGACATAAGTTCCAATGAATCATTTGGGCCACAGAGTTGTGCCTCTGTTTGATCCGTTCTCAATCAATTTTCCCCAAACTTCTTCAAAGTCATTTTCCTTCCATACCCCTTCCCTGACTCTTAACCTACATGTCAATTTATCATTTATTGCTAGTTTCCATAATTCTTTATACCATTTTTCAATTGATATATTTATTTTACCTTTCCAGTTCCTCGCTATCAGTAATCTTGCTGCAGTTAACATGTTATCTATTGCATCTTTCTCTGTTTTTTTAAAATTTTCTTAACGTTATATAGTGACAATAATGCAATGTTTGCACTTTTCCCTATCTTCATATCCACTATAACTTCTATTTCTCCAAATACCTTCCCCCAAAATTCATTTACATATTTACATTGCCACCACATATGTACCCACATCCTAGCAACCTCTCCAACAGTTTTTTGTGGCATTCCTATTGATATTTGCAATCTTTACTGGTGTTAAGTACCATTTCCAAACCAATTTATAATAATTTTCTTTAACACGTATCGATAAATTCTTTAAATATCTTTGATCCCATAATTGTACCCAATCTGCTTCCTTTATTCTAATCCCTAGATCAGTGTTTCTCAACCTGGGGGTTGGGACCCCTGGGGGGGTCGCGAGGGGGTGTCAGAGGGGTCACCGAAGACCATCAGAATATACAATATTTTCTGTAGTCATGGGGGTTCTATGTGGGAAGTTTGGCCCAATTCTATCATTGGTGGGGTTAAGAATGCTCTTTGATTGTAGGTGAACTATAAATCCCAACAACTACAACTCCCAAATGTCAAGGTCTATTTTCCCCAAACTCCACCAGAGTCCACATTGGACATATTGAGTGTTCGTGCCAAGTTTGGTCCAGATTGATCATTGTTTGAGTCCACAGTTCTCTCTGGATTTAGGTGAAGTACAACACCCAAACTCAAGGTCAATGCCCACCAAGCCATTCTAGCATTTTCTGTTGGTCATGGGATTTCTGTGTGGCCAGGTCTGATTCAATTCCATCATTGGTAGAGTTCAGAAAGCTCTTTGATTGTAGGCGAACTATAAATCCCAGAAACTACAACTCCCAAATGACATCATTCTCTTCCAACCCCACCAGTATTCAAATATCGGGTATTTGTGCCAAATTTGGTCCAGTGAATGAAAATCCATTCTGCATATCAGATATTAGGAGCCCCCGGTGGCACAGTGGGTTAAACCCCTGTGCCGGCAGGACTGAACACCGACAGGTCACAGGTTCGAATCCGGGAAGAGGCAGATGAGCTCCCTCTATCAGCTCCAGTTCCTCATGCGGGGACATGAGAGAAGCCTCCCACAAGGATGATAAAACCATCAAATCATCCGGGCATCCCCTGGGCAACGTCCTTGCAGACAGCCAATTCTCTCACACCAGAAGCAACTTGCAGTTTCTCAAGTCGCTCTTGACATGAAAAAAAGGAGTTTTAGTTTGGTGAAATACCAGGACTCTTGGGCAGAGAAGGCCTAAAGACCTTGCAAAATGACAACTCCCATGACTCCATAGCATTGAGCGATGTGTGCATTTTCACAGTTGAATGAATTTAGTCAGGCCCCACTTGCCCTGGATCAATGCTATGGGATCCTGGGAGTTGTAGTTTTGCAAGGCCTTTAAGCCTTCTCTGACTCACCAAACTATAACTCCCATGATTCTGTAGCATATAGCCATGGGTGCATCACTACTGTAGAATGAATGCAGGTTGACCCCAATTGATCAATGCTATGGAATCCGGGGAGTTGTAGTTTTGCAAGGTCTCTCGTTGTCTCTGCCTCACCAAACTACAGCTCCCAGGATTCCATAGCACTGAAGCCATGGGTGCACTCCACTGTAGAATGAGTGCAGGTGGAGCCCACTTGCCCTGGAACAAGGCTACGGAATCATGGGAGTTGCAGTTTTGCAAAGTCTCTTGCCGTCTCTGCCTTGCCACACTACAACTCCCATGATTCCATAGCATTGAGCCATGGATGCTTCTCTACTGTAGGACAAATACAGTCGGACCCCACTTGCCCTGGGTCAATGCTATGGAATCCTGGGAGTTGTAGTTTTGCAAGGTCTCTCGCCAATTCTGCCTCAACAAACTATAACTCCCATGATTCCGTAGATATTTACATTATGTTTCATAACAGTAGCAAAATTACAGTTATGAAGTAGCAACAAAAATAATGTTATGGTTGGGGGTCACCACAACACGAGGAACTGTATCGCAACATTAGGTAGGTTGAGAACCACTGCCCTAGAACTTCCTCCCATATCTCTCTTAATATTGCATCCTTAATTTTTTTCCTCCCCTTAATATTCCAAGCATTTTAGATAATGAATATACAACTTGCATTCAGTTGCCTCCCATGAGCCTGAGTTTTCCTGGGAAGTTTGCAAATGGGCCTCCGTCTTACCTCCAGATTCATCCTGAACTTCATCCCTGGCCTCTCCGTCTCCGGCTTCATCTCCGTCTTCCGAATGGAGCAGAATCCGGCTCCCGCTCAAGTCTTCATCACTAGCAGAGAAAGAGAATAATATGGCACACACCATCATCATGCTATGCTATGGGGATGCTGGAAGTGAGAATTAAAGCTGGTTTTGATAGGCAACACATGACATACCCCAACGCATGGTGTTGTGGTGCAAGGACATGCTCCAGATCCGTGACACGCATGAACTGGCGGTGAAAATAATGCAGCTGCAAGATGCAAGCCAGGAGGAAGAAGCCCGGTATGAAGATGCTGGAGAAGAGTTCAGAGACACTGAATTGCTCCAGACCCAGGTCTCCCAATCTGTGTGTGATGGAAAGGGAAGGGGGAAAAAAAATCAAAATAGAGCAGTGACATTAAACAGAAGCACTAAAGGATAGGTGGAATGGAAGCAGGAATGGCCAGTGAGGAAATCAGGGAACCAAATGATCTAAAGATGCTGCAAACTGGAGACCTTCACAGCAGGACACTTCCCTTCTCTATTTCATAATATACGAGGGGCATTCAGTAAAGATTTCCCTTGACCGACTTCTGTTTATCACAGGACACTGAAACTGCCCATGTGTAATGATGTAAGTTTCTATAGGTTATGTGCCAATTTACAATTCAGAACTCAGAACGGTCTTGATTTGACAAGTGCTGAAGTGGTGTGAGGTTTGAGAATGGACCCAGTGGAAGACAGAGCAGTCCTCAAGTTCCTTAGATGTTAGATGCCCATCTCCCAGAAGCATCAATTGGCATGGTTATTTCTAGGGGGAAAAACAGGATCCAGGAGACTGAAGAAGCCCCAAAATAATAATAATAATAATAATAATAATAATAATAATAATAATAATAATAATAAAACTTTATTTATACCCCGCTACCATCTCCCCAAGGGACTCGGTGTGGCTTACATGAGGCCGAGCCCACAATACATCAATACAAGCAATACAAGCAACAACAAATACAAATACTAATACAAAGCAACTAAAATAAATCTCATACACAAATAGCATAAACATTGAACAGTGGCACAAAACACATTTAACAAAATATGGCTGGGCCAAATGTAATTAAGTTAAAAAAATAATGCTGTGCATAAACAGGATAGAGGAGGTGGGACGTTGGGGAACAAACAAGTAGACCTAAATCAGTATAAAGTGCTTTTGGAGGACATAATGCTAAGGGTTCATTATTCTGGGAAGGCACACTGGAACAACCACATCTTCAAGCTCCTCCTAAAGACTGCCAGAGTTGAGGCATGCCTGATATCCTTAGGAAGTGAGTTCCAGAGTCGAGGGGCCACCACCGAGAAGGCCCTCTCTCTCATCCCCACCAGTCGCACTTGCGATGCAGATGGAAGCGCGAGTAGGGCCTCTCCAGATGATCGAAGAGATCATGTGGGTTCATACACAGAAATGCGGTCACGCAGGTAGGCAGGTCCCAAACTGTTCAGAGCTTTGTAGGTAAGAACCTGCACCTTGAATTGGGTCCGGAAAATGAAAGGCAGCCAGTGGAGCTCCTTAAACAGGAGGGTTGACTCCCTGTAAGGAGCGCCAGTTAACAACCTGGCTGCCGCCCGTTGGACCAACTGAAATTTCCGAGCCGTTTTCAAGGGCAGCCCCACGTAGAGCGCATTACAGTAGTCCAATCTGGAGGTGACTAAGGCATTGACCACCCTGGCCAGATCTGCCTTCATGAGGTATGGTCGCAGTTGGCGCATGAGTCTTAATTGTGCAAAAGCCCTCCCAGCCACCGCCGACGCCTGAGCCTCAAACGTAAGTGATGAGTCCAGGAGGACACCCAGGCTGCGGACCTGTGATTTCAGGGTATTCCGCTCTATTTCCCCAAAGGGACTCAGGGCGGATTCCGAACATAAAAGGCAAACATTCAATGACAACAATACATCCATACTAACAAATTTTAAACACCCCAATATAATAATTGTTGGGGTTCAGCCTGTGTGTGAACCTGAACCTGATTCTCTGATTGCTGAACCTGAACCGGATTCTCTGATTGTTTGTCCTGATGTTACTGAACATGTATTTTTCCCTGATGGTAATGAAAGTGTTGATACTGAGGTCAGTGGCTTGGAAAGTGAAACTACACATTCTGATGAGAATTCTGCAGAGCCAAGCGGTGATAGCTCTCCAGAGGAGTTAGCACCTGGCTTCCTTAATGAGGATAGAAAAAGACAGATTTGGAAAAACAGGAGTGAATCGCAAAGTCTGTGAAGGTCAAGCAGATTAAAGGAAAGGGAAACACAGACTTCAAAGCTTGGAGGCGTGTCATGAAACAGTTTCTTCAGTTTTAAGTGCCTCTCACCGGGTTGTCTCGTTAGATCAGGCATCGTTTAGACTGAGGCATTACCTTGGCAGATTTCCCGTTTCCCATGGCCTGCATTCCCAGAGGCTTGCTAACAGTTTCCAGGTTTTTACAGTGTGGCTTTTGGAATTTTGATCAAGTTCATGGATATTCTTGACTGCTGAATTTTACTATGGTTTTTTGACTTTGCATTTTCTTCTATTTTGTAACCATTTTTCCATCAATAAAAAGTTTAGTGTGATGGTTTGTTATCTAATGGTCTCATTCCCAGCTCTGGGTTGCAACAACAACAACAACAACAACAACAACAATAATAAAGTTTATTTATACCCCGCCACCATCTCCCCAAGGGGACTCAGAGCGGCTTACATGAGGCCAGGCCCAACAACACAGCAATAAATAATAAAAACAAGCAATAAGCAAATAAAACAATACAATTAATATAACTCACATATAGACAATAACACGCAGAAATTAAAAAACCTATGTCCGGGCCAGATGTAATAGTTAAAATTTTAAAAATAAATGCTGGGCGTGAACAGAGGTAGGATGTATCTAGTAGGAGGGTTTTAAAACAAATGTAGGGAGAGCAACCCAACGGGTAATTGAAGTGCTTCTGAGGACATTTTGCAGGGACATTAATTATAACTTAACAACTAAAATTAAATAAAAACACATTCTGTTATGACCGACATAAGACAAAACATCAAACATCAAATGGAAACAATAATTTCCCATTTCCTTGGGGCAATTCCATTAATAATTGCTCAAGATATCTATTGAGCTGGTGGGGTGAGCAGGGCATGGATACGGATGGCAGCTATTAATCAGAGGTATAACGGTAGTATTACCAACTACTATTCCTCCTCCTCATAAGCCAGTGAGCAAAGGTATGTCCTCAGCTGTTTCTTAAAAGCGGGTAGGGAGGGAGCCATCTTTAACTCCTTAGGAAGGAAGTTCCAGAGGTGGGGGGCAGCCACAGAGAAGGCCCTTCCTCTCATTCCCACCAGCCGTGCTTGGGACGGGGGTGGAACTGAGAGGAGGATCTCCTCCGATGACCTCAATGTCTGAGTTGGTCTGTAGAGGGAGATGCGGTTTGTCAAATAGTCTGGACCTAAGCCGTTTAGGGCTTTAAAGGTAAGGACCAGCACTTTGTATTTAGCTTGGAAGCAGACTGGCAACTAGTGGAGCTGCCGCAAGGTGGGAGTGGTTCTCTCCCTGAACGGCGCTCCAGTTAGTAACCTGGCTGCCGATCTCTGGACCATTTGAAGCTTCTGAACTATCTTCAAAGGCAGCTCCACGTAGAGAGCATTGTAGTAGTCCAAACGGTATGTGACTAAGGCATGGACTACCATGGCGAAGTCAGGCATCTCAAGGTATGGATGGAGGTGGCACACAAGTTTTAACTGTGCGAAGGCGCTCCTGGCCACCGCTGACACCTGGGGTTCCAGGGTCAGTGATGAGTCCAGTATCACCCCCAGATTGTGGACCTGTGTCTTCAGGGAGAGTGCGACCCATCCAACACAGGCTGATTCCACACCCTGATCTGCCTTCCACACCCTGATCTGTCTTGTCTGGATTTAGTTTCAGCTTGTTGACCCTCATCCAGTCCATTACTGATGACAGGTTCAGGATCAGAACAGCATCCTTGGCTTTTGGTGGAAAGGAGTGATGGAGTTAGGTGTCATCCGCATAAATTTGACACCAAACTCCAAAACTCTGGATGATCTCTCCCAGCGGTTTCATGTAAATGTTAAACAGCATGGGGACAGAACTGAACCCTGAAGAACCCACAGGCCACCAGCCAGGGAGTCCCCCAGCTCCACTGCAGAACAGTGTCTCCAAGCCCCATCCCAGAGAGATGATCCAGAAGGATACCAGAGTCGATGGTATCGAAAGCCACTGAGAGGTCCAGGAGAACCAGCAAGGACGCACTCCTCCTAGCTCTCTTCGTAGATCATCCACCAAAGCGACCAATGCCATCTGGAGAACCAGAACCTGAGAAGCATTGAGTCAAAGCAAACCCAACTCATGTTTTTTTATGGTCTCCTAAGCAGTGTGCCTCTGTTTGCATCTCTTTCCATGATGCCAATGGTAGGACGGGTCCATCTGTACTCACTGTTCATCCGTCAGCCCTGTGAAGTTTCGCCAGTACATGGGAAAGTCCTCAAACTGGAAGGTGTAGACCGCAATGAGCACCAACATGGTGTAGGCCACCACCAGCCACCAGAAGGCCTTCAAGAGTTTCCTCCAAAGACTGTAGTAAACCTGAAGGAGATATATATATATGGAGAGAGCATAAGGAGGAAGAAGAATGGGTCACATCCACATCATTGTGAGGTATCCCAACCTCTCCTTCTCTGTTCCTCCAACTCTAAAAAATAGATTGCATGCTTTGGGTGGAGTAGCATAAATACCCTGTAAACCAGTGTTTCTCAACCTTCCTAATGCCGCAACCCCTTCTATAACTATAAATCCCAGAAACTACAACTCCCAAATGACAAAATCCTACCCAACCCCACCAGTACTCAAATTTGGGTGTATCAGGTATCAGGTTGTGGTGATCCCCCAACCATAACATTATTTTCGTTGCTACTTCGTACCTGTAATTTTGCAACTCTTATGAATCGGAATGTAAATTTCTGATATGCAGGATGTATTTCCATTCACTGGACCAAATTTGGCAAAAATACCCCATACACCCAAATTGGAATACTGATGGGGTTGGGGAAGGGAATTGATTTTATCAAATGGTAGTTGCTGGGATTTGTAGTTCACCTACAATCAAAGAGCATTCTGAACTCCACCAATGATGGAATTGAACCAAACTTGACACACAGAACTCTCATGACCAACAGAAAATAGTGAAAGGGTTGGTGGGCATTGACCTTGGGTTTTGGAGTTGTAGTTCACCTACCTCCAGAGAGCACTGTGGACTCAAACAATGATGGATCTGGACCAAACTTGGCACGAGTACTCAGTATGTCCAAATGTCAACACTGGGGGAGTTTGGGGAAAATAGACCTTGATATTTGGGAGTCGTAATTGCTGGGATTTATAGTTTACCTACGATCAACTAGCATTCTGAACCCCAACAATGTTAGAATTGGGCCAAACTTCCCACACAGAACCTCCATACTGTGTTTTCTGATGGTCTTTGGTGACCCCTCTGACACCCCCCTCACGACCCCCCCATGGGTCCTGACCCCCAGGTTGAGAAACGCTGCTGTAAACCCCAGATTGTATTTGATCTGAGGGTGCATCTATTGGGGGGAAAATGCAGGATAGGTGCGTGAGTTATAGTTTTCTCCTTCCTCAATCACGCCCTCCCTACTCTGCGCACTGGACTGATTGACTCAGAGCCAGCAGTAAAAATCAACCTAAGCATTGCCGAGTCTTTTATCAGAAGTCAGCAGAGTTTTACTGCACCGCCTGACCTTGTGCCACTCACTGTTTAATAAAACACTTTGACTTTGGTTTTCCTCCAAACTTATAGTAGAGGCTTCTCATCTTGACACGTTCCTTACATACAGCTATATACACACATCAGTACACAGAAATATACTCACGACAGATATCGCAACAGATATACAATGAGAAGTGAGATTTAGGGCAAGAGAGACAGCACATGCTTGCTACCTAGTTTTATACCCATTGCTTCTTACTATCAAAAAGGATCAACATGACATCACACAATAATAATAATAATAATAATAATAATAATAATAATAATAATAATAATTTAATTTCTTACCCGCCTCTCTCCTTATAGCTCGAGGCAGGTTACAGGATAATTAAAACACATAAACATTGTTAAAATACCATAGATACACATATTAAAATATATTTTCATAAAAATACTTATTATTTATTTACTTATTTATTTATTTATTATTTACAGTTTTTATATTCCGCCCTTCTCACCCCGCAGGGGATGCAGGGCGGATTACAGTGTACACATATATGGCAAAAATTCAATACCAATTTTGACATACAACATATAGAGACATAGACAGAGGCTATTTTTTAACTTTTTCTGGCCGCCAGGGGAGCTGTCGCTTTCATCGTCCATCTGCAACACTGATGAAATACTTCCGCATTCCCTGCATGCTTTTTGCTGGAGTCTTTTTTTAATGGCCTCATAAATTAGTTAATTTAGCCTTCCCACACTTTAAGGTGGTACCTAATTTTCCTACTTGACAGATGCAACTGTCTTTCGGGTTGCAAAGGTCGACAACAGGCTACACAATTGGTTGGAAACCCACTCCAACCCAGGCTGGCTTCGAACTCATGACCTTTAGGTCAGAGTGATCTTAATGCAGCCGACACTCAGCCAGCTGCGCCACAATCCCGGTGCTTGTTTCTATAAAATACGTATTAAAATACACAGAATGTAGATTAAACGTGATCATGGTCAGCTTCTCTAGCCCGTCCCTCCACTTACTTAACTCTTCAATAGGTGTAAGACCACATGTCCATTCGAACTGTATTTTCCAACCAGGAATGCACAATGGGGTTACAGACAATGTATTTCAATCTAACAGTGCGTTATCTACCTAACAGCATCTACACTGCAGAATTAGTGCAGTCTGATACCACTTTCACTGCCATGGCTCAATGTTATGGAATCTTGGAAACGGTAGTTTGGTGAGGCTCCAACCCTCTATGGCAGAGAAGGCTAAAGAACCTTGCAACATACTAACCCATGATTCCACATTCCCGAACTCTGGCAGCTCAAGTGCTGTTAAACTGCATTAGTTCCTCAGTGTAGACACACTCGGAGCTGGAGGTCTCACCTGGAAGAGGGTGAGGCTCAGCAGGAAGAGGAACATGTAGACAATCTTGTAGACCACCAGCCGGCCAGCAAAGGTGACAACAATGAACATGCCGGCGCAAACCAGGATCCAGAACTTGGCAAAGAAGCCTGTCACATAGGCCCCCAGGGTCTTCAGCATGTCCCGCTTGGGGGCAGGCCCTAAAAGAGAAGAACAAATAAATAACTTTGCACTACTTTGATCCAGGCATACAAAACCTCATACTTGGGGCCCTCATTCTGACCTGAGTCCAAAACGGTGACCTCCTTCAAGGGGGGCGTGGGTTGCTTCTTTTTCAGCAACTTCTCCTTCACAAATTGCCGCACCAGGAGCCAGAAAGTCAGAGTGTAAAGGAGCTGCGGGCAAAAAGAAGGGAAAACAAGAGGAATTCAGCATCAGGAGATAGCTCCAAATGAGATTATTTGTCTCCACATTTCATGATATATATCAAGTCTCCTTTATCTAAAATGCTTGGGACTTGGAGTGTTTGAGATTTTGTAGGATTTTGAGATCCTTGTATTTTTATATACAGGTTGAGAATTCCTTACCGCAGAATTCCAAAATTGTCCATTTGGATGGCTTTCTGATGCTTCCATGGACCCAAATGTTTCACGCAAAAAAGTTTTTAAAAGTTGTAAAAAGACTTTTAAAAGTTTAAGTTTTTAAAAGGTTTTTTAAAAGTTTATTTTTTAAGTTTCTAGAAAGCTTTTTTTAAAAAATTAAGTTTTTAAAAAGTTTTTAAGTTTAATTTTAAAAAAAGGTTTCTAAAATTTTCTAAAAAGCTTGTTTAAGTTTAGACAAAGTTTAGAAAAGTTTGTTTAAAGTTTTTAAAGTTATATTTTAAAAGTTTTTTAAAGTTTTAAAATTTTTTTAAAAAATTTAAAAGTTGTAAAAAGATTTTTTAAAGTTTTTTAAGTTTTTAAAAAGTTTTTAAAAAGTTTATTTTTTAAGTTTCTAGAAAGATTAAAAAAATTTAAGTTTAATTTTTAAAAAAGTTTCTAAAATTTTCTAAAAAGCTTGTTTAAGTTTAGAAAAGTTTGTTTAAAGTTTAAAAGGTTTTTTAAAAGTTATTTTAAAGTTTAATTTTTAATTTCTAAAAAGTTTATAAAACTTTCTAAAAAGGTTTTTAAACGTTTTAAAAAGTTTTTTTCCATTTTTAAAAAGTTTTAAAAGTTTTTTAAAGTTTCTAAAAAGTTTCCAAAAGTTTCTAAAAGTTTTAAAAAAGTTTTAAACCTTCTGGATATGTATACAAGGTGTATATGGAGCACAAATTAATCTCAGACTTGGGTCCCATATGTATATGCAAATACAATTATTCCAAAATTTGAAAACATTCAAAATCCCAAACATTTATGGCCTCAAGTATTTTGTATAGGAGAGACTTATACATACCTAATACATTTAATACATGTATTTGCATATATGCACACACACACATCATGACCTATCTGATAGATAGGACCCAAGTCTAAACCCAAAATGCACTGATGTTTCCTATACACCTTACACATATAGCTTGAAGATCATTGTACATAATATTATAGATTAAACTCAAGTCTAAAACCAACGTTCTTGGATGTTTCCTTTGCACCTTACACACATAGCTGGGATGGTCCTTTTGTACAATATTTTTAATGATTTTAATGCCTTCATTTGCATTGATGTTTTCCTTTGCACCTTACAAATATGGCTGTGAGGTCCTTTCATACACTATTTGTAATTATTTTCATGCCTGCATTTGCATTGATGTGTCTTATGTACCTTATATACATATGGTGGGGATGGTCCTGTCATGCACTATTTGTAATGCTTTTCCTGTCTGTGTTTGCAAACAAATCGAGGGAAAAGGATGCCCGGGTGTAGACTTCAATGGGTTTGGTGGCTCACCTTGGCCCCCAGGTCCAGGCAGGGGCGGAGGGGTGTGCGCAGGCCCAGCTGCTGGAGGGGCATGAATCCCACCCGTGTGGGTAGCTCAGCCTCCAGATCCATCCCCCAGACATGCTGGAGGGGCATGAATCCCACCCGTGTGGGTAGCTCAGCCTCCAGATCCATGCCCCAGACGTACTGGAGGCTGCAAAGGGTCACGCCGTAGAGGAGGATGAAGGGCGAGCAGAGCATGGCCAACTGGTGCCGGTTGCGCACGATCCAGATGAGGCAGGCCCAGAGCAGCAGCACGAAGGTCAGCCAGCTGTGGTAGGTGATGCTCCACACCTGGAAGCCAACAAGAAAGAAGAATTTGCAGCCAACACAGAAGGCATCATCTCCTTTCACTGGCTGTTAGGAATTGTGGGAGTTGCAGTCCAAAATGCCTGGAGGACCGGTTTGCAGATAATAACAACAATAATAATAATAATAATAATAATAATAATAATAAGAAGAAGAAGAAGAAGAAGAAGAAGAGGAACAAGTGAGGCTGGTGGGGACAAGGAGCAGGGCCTTCTCAGTGGTGGCCCCTCACCTGTGGAACTCACTCCCGGTGGATATCAGGGCATCGACATCACTCCTGTCCTTCAGGAGGAAGGTAAAGACATGGTTGTGGGACCAGGCCTTCGGGCAATCTGCTAACTAGGACAACCAGACAAATAGGGCCGGCAGGACTGATAAATGTGGAATGAAACTCTGAACTATGAGATAGCGAACATTGACCGGCAATAAGGAGTAATTGGTTTGTATCGGTTTGTATGAAATTTTTATTGGTTTTATCGGGTATAGATGTAATGTATTGTTGTTGATTGCTAATTTGTGCTATTTTGTTTTATTACTGTTGTATATTACGGGCATCGAATTGTGCCTTGGATATGTAAGCCGCCCTGAGTCCCCTTCGGGGTGAGAAGGGCGGGGTAAAAGTAAACCAAATAAATAAATAAATAAATAAATAAATAATCTCTATTTATACCCCGCCACCATCTCCCCAATGGGGACTCAGAGCAGCTTACATGGGGCCAAGCCCAGGACAACATGTTACAGCAAAATAAAATTGAAACATAAACAACAAGCAACATAATCAAAATTACATAGAGGGGAAAAAAGTATAAACACAGTGACAAAATAACATTCCAATAAATACAATCACAATAACAGTGGGTGGGCCACATGTACGGGATGAAATGATTAAAAGACTCTAATGAGATAAAAATAGGAGCAGGTTATTTGCAGGGAACTCATAAAAACACACAGGGTTGTGAAACTAAACTTCCCAGTCGTAGGGCATGTACTCCAGTGGCAGAAGCATTGAGGGGAGCAATAGTGTCATGTTGTGCACCTACTCGCCAAAGGCGCAGCGGAAGAGCCAGGTTTTAAGGTTCTTTTTAACGTTTCTAGTGAAGGGGCTTTCCTGATCTCTCCAGGTAATGAGTTCCAGAGTCAGGGAGCCACAGAGGAGAAGGCTCTCTCTCTTGTGCCCACAAGACAAGCTTGTGAGATTGGTAGGGGCGAAAGGAGAGCCTCCCCCGAAGATCAAAGGGTTTGGGTTGGTCAACTTCCAGCATGGAGTCATGTTGCAAGCCTAAAGGGGCTTCATGCCTCTTTCTCTTACCATCATGGCAATGAGAGCGCAAACGTAGCTCTGGTCCATTACGATGTGGCCCAGCGAATGCAGCAGATGCAGCTTCTCCTTCTGCCGTTTCCGTCTCTTGTTGGCTACAGAGAGAATAGAGAGGATTTTGGAAAGCAAAAAAAGGGGCTGGTTCAGAGAAGACAAGGGTGGCATTGCTGCTGTGGGTCAATGCAGACAGTACTGAGGTCAACGGAGCAAGGACTTGACTCAGTACAAGTTATTTCCTTTTAGGGGAGAGACCAAGAGACAGAACAAGGAAAGTGCCTTAGAGAACAGACAATGCAAAACAGGCCATTATATTACTGTTATTATGTTATTATTATGTTTATTTATATTCCCCCTTTCCCTCTCCATAAGGAGACTCAACCCAGCATCATGTCTGTTGTATTCCAGAGCAGGAAGCACCTCTCCACTTAACCACTACACTCCAGTCCAATGTAAATCAGCAAAGTAGTTTGTTGAAGAATAAATAAAAAGCAGTTCATCATAAATAGTAAAAACTGTTGCACTCCAGGACAGGAAAAGCCCTCTGACTGTAAACACCACACCTTTTATTGAAGATAGTTAAAAAGCAGGACTTTAAAGAAATAGGTAAATCCAATTAGGTAAGAAGATAAGCAGGAGCAAAAATAGTCCAGGGTAAAGTTCAGCAAAGTCCATAAAAACAAAGTCCACACTTCTCTAATATAATTCAGAAAACCAGGAAACATTAATCCAAGGCATGAGTAGGCATTCATACAATCCAAGAATCCAAATCATTAAACAAGAAATACTTAGACAAGAATCTTCCCAGCAAGGCTTCCATGAACAAGAACAAGAATTTCCCTTGATTCCAAACAATGCTTCATCTGACTATATTTCCCATGCTTGGAATTTTTATCCCCTCGTTAAGATATCCCCAGCACTCAGAAATTGGTTTTGCTTTAATGGAGATTCCCTTATCTTTTTCTGTCAGATTCTGGCAGATTGCCGAAGCCATTGTTCAGTCTGCCTGTTTTGACTAATCTCATGCCTCCTATCTATTTGCTCATTAAATTTTCCAGCTGGGCCAGGTGCCCATTTGTTTTCAAGCTCCAAACAAATCAGGGAGTATGCCATCCTTACCACACCCTTCAGGGACATTCTCGTGGAAAACTACACTTTCCTGTGCAAAGTCTCCTGGTTCTTCTCTGCATCAGTATGATCGACCAAACCATTGCCATCTTGAAATTCATTGGCATCACTTCCCACATCCAAAGCACCCTGATCCTGAAACACAATCACAGGCTGAACTCCAACAAAAACATCTAAGTCTGATGTAAGAAAGAGTCTACAAAATCCAAGGTACAAGAGTTGTATCAAAAACCAGAAATGCAATAGAATCAGGATACACAAGACAGCATATAATTCAATACACAGAATTCAGGAGCTAAACTTGGAAGCAGGGAACATGAACTGCTGGAGACATGGAACCAGAATTCCCTTAGCAGTCTTGATTAGAACTTGACAAGCACCAACGTTGACCAGACTGCTGAAAAATCCCTTTGGTCTCTCTAATAAAACCATGAAATCATGCCATTTGCCCTGGCAAATGGATACCAACTTTTTCTCTAACAAGCACTGTGACCTTTGCTGAGTCTGTGAAGCAGCTTGGAGTTTGCGAAAACTAAATCTCCTATCTAACAGCTCATTAACCTCTCCACCAGGCAGTTCATCCTCTGAACTCACTTCTCTAGAGAAAGACTTCCCTGGGCCCCTCTCTAGAATGTGGCCTTTGCCTTCACTAACTGTTGGAGACACAGAATGCTCAGTTTCAGGACTTAAAATCTCATGCTGGCTCACAGGCTCAGCAGGCCCCGAAATCCCATGATCCACAATCCCATGATCCACTTCCTCATTGACATTAGGCACAATAATTGGCTGAATTATAACAATGTCCTTACCAAGCGGCTCAGGCTCCCCAATTGCATGGACTGCACAATTCTCGGCATCGGTGCCAGAAGCCTCTGTCTCAGAAACCAACATGGGCTGGAAAAAAAGGAGAACAAAATGAAATGAAGGGAAAAAGTGATAGCCGGCCACATCTGCCCTTGAAATCTCAGGAAACTCCCACCGTTGCATCTCCAGCCACAGCCTCTTGTTCCAGGGACCAGTTCTCCATCTCCATCAGTTCAGAGGAAGAGCTTTCGGTATCCCGTCGCTTGAAGAGAAAAACAGGGAAGAAGGTTTGAAACAGGACGTATTTGGGGATTCCTTTATCCTATCAGACAGAAAACCCAGCAATATTGCAATATACCAGTCATCCTCAAACTGTGGCCCTCCGGCTGTTTGGGACTCCAGCTCCCAAAATTCCTGGCCAATGAACAAGCTGGCAAGGGCTTCTGGGAGTTGGAGGCCAAAACAGCTAGAGGACCAAATTTGGAGGGTGCCTGCAATATACAAGCCCCTCGGTGAAGATCGTAAGGGCCTTCTCCATTGACTACCAACCCCATTGTCCCCAGAATGAACAATCACTGAGCAATCTGTTTATCTGCATATAAACAATCTGTTTGTTCGCAGATTGATAGATACACGTTACTATGACTCTATGGGTAGAGCAGGCAAAAAAATACATTTCGGAAATAGGCAATGCATGCGAAAAAGGGTAACAGAATTGTAACGTGATGTTAGAAAACTGAGGACTCCATAACCAAAGAAAATCAAAATTCCTTTTAAAAGGCTATATTTTGAGCTGGTTTCCCGTAGAAAAAATCCTTTGGATTGTGCTTGTATTTCTGAATTGTGTCTGTGAGAAATTAAGGAACTTGGTACCAGGTAGGAGACAAGAACAAAAAAGTAAATAAGGAGAATGTGTTCTATTAGCAGATATATCATGGATTATAGTAGTCTAGAGTTCATTTTAACAAGAAACCATTCTCATGGCAAGGATTTTAATATGGTAACGGTCTGCTGTCCGAGAACATTTTCCCATTCAACCTAATGGAGGGACCTTTGCAACTCACCTGGTTGTAGGAATGGGACCTCCGGAGTTTCACCAAAGTGGCCAGAACGTAATAGAGCAGCAACAGGATCCCAGGGTTGACATAGACCGGCCAAGGCAAGCTAAGGTCCAGGAGGAGCGCATTGGGTTTGCTGCATCCCGCATGCAGGACGATGGCCTTCAGACCAAACAACCTACGGAGCAAGGAAGTCCTAAACATCCAGAGCAGAACTTTCCAAACTTTTCGTGTTGCTTTTTATACATACTGTACATCCTTTTGCAACACGGTCATCTCGTTTTACTAGCAAAGCAGAGGGTAACCCAGGCATGGGCAAATTTGGGCCCTCTGAGTGTTTTGTATTTTAACTCCCACTTGCAGCTTCAATGCTGGCAGGTTGCTGCCTGGGGGAATCCTTTGTTGGAAGGCGTTAGCTGGCCCTGATTGAGTCCTGTCTGGAATTCCCCTGCTTTTTGAGAGTTGCTCTTTATTTACTGTCCTGATTTTAGACAGTCTGGCAGCAACCAGCCAGACCTTGAAGCTGCAAGGCCATTCAATGCTAATCGAAGTTATCAATTGCAAGATTCACACTTGCTTCAAACAGACAAGAGTTCTTTCTCCCATCCTGGACATTATTCCACGGGTATATATACATTCCACTTGCTTCACTACCAACAGAACCTCTGAAGATGCCATTAGCCACAGATGCAGGCGAAATGTCAGGAGAGAATGCTGCTGGAACATGGCCACACGGCCTGAAAAACTTACAGCAACCCCTTGATTCCGACAACATATCTTTCATTTATGTAAACCTCACTTGCCCAGTTTCCAACAGATCTCACAACTTCTGAAAATCCCTGACATAGATGTGTGCAAAATGTCAGGAGAGAATGCTTCTGGAACATGGCCATACAGCCCGGAAAACTCACAGCAGCCTATACACACACACACACACACACACACATACACATACATACATATATACATACATATACATACTAGCCATCCCCTGCCATGTGTTGCTATGGCCCAGTCTGTATATATGTGTTTTGTGTGTTTATATATTTGTGTATATATGAGTATATGTGTGTGTGTGTGTGTGTGTGGGTGTATATATGTATGTATATATATGTGTGTACATGCATATTGTGTATATGTGTGTGCTTGTCTATAGGCATATTTGTGTGTATGTATATAAGTGTGTATGTATATGTATGCATGTTTCTATGTGTATATTTGTGTGTGTTTGTGCATATATGTAAGTGTGTGTGTATGAATGTATGCATGTGGATATGTATATGAGTGTATGTGTATACGTATATATGGTGTATTATTTGGGTTTTTAAGTTGTGTGTGTGTTGTGTTTTAGGGTGATGGACACTCGTTGGACTGTTAGGTGTATTGTGTCCACATTTTGTGTCAATTTGTCCAGTGGGTTTTGAGTTATGTTAATCCCACAAATCAACATTACATTTATATATATATAATCTATATAATGTGCGGGGCTGGATGAATGCAAAGCTGGGGTGAAAATTGCTGAAGAAACATTAACAACCTCAGATATGCAGATGACACCACTCTGATGGCCGAAAGCGAGGAGGAGCTGAGGAGCCTTCTAATCAAGGTGAAAGAAGAAAGCGCAAAAGCCGGGTTGCAGCTAAACGTCGAAAAAACCAAGATTATGGCAACAAGAATGATTGACAACTGGAAAATAGAGGGAGAAACCGTGGAGGCCGTGACAGACTTTGTATTTCTAGGTGCAAAGATTACTGCAGATGCAGACTGTAGCCAGGAAATCAGGAGACGCTTACTTCTTGGGAGGAGAGCAATGTCCAATCTCGATAAAATAGTAAAGAGTAGAGACATCACACTGGCAACAAAGATCCGCCTAGTCAAAGCCATGGTATTCCCTGTAGTAACCTACGGATGTGAGAGCTGGACTTAGGGAAGGCTGAGCGAAGGAAGATAGATGCTTTTGAGCTGTGGTGTTGGAGGAAAGTTCTGAGAGTGCCTTGGACTGCGAGAAGATCCAACCAGTCCATCCTCCAGGAAATAAAGCCCGGCTGGAGGGAAGGATACTAGAGACAAAGTTGAAGTACTTTGGCCACATCATGAGGAGACAGCAAAGCCTAGAGAAGACAATTATGCTGGGGAAAGTGGAAGGCAAAAGGAAGAGGGGCCGACCAAGGGCAAGATGGATGGATGGCATCCTTGAAGTGACTGGACTGACCTTGAGGGAGCTGGGGGTGGTAACGGCCGACAGGGAGCTCTGGCGTGGGCTGGTTCATGAGGTCACGAAGAGTCGGAGACGACTGAACGAATGAACAACAACAATTTGTTTGTTTGTTCATTCGTTCAGTCGTCTCCGACTCTTCGTGACCTCATGGACCAGCCCACGCCAGAGCTCCCTGTCGGCCGTTACCACCCCCAGCTCCCTCAAGGTCAGTCCAGTCACTTCAAGGATGCCATCCATCCATCTTGCCCTTGGTCAGCCCCTCTTCCTTTTACCTTCCACTTTCCCCAGCATAATTGTCTTCTCTAGGCTTTCCTGTCTCCTCATGATGTGGCCAAAGTACTTCAACTTTGTCTCTAGTATCTTTTCCTCCAGTGAGCAGTCGGGCTTTATTTCCTGGAGGATGGACTGGTTGGATCTTCTCGTGGTCCAAGGCACTCTCAGAACTTTCCTCCAACACCACAGCTCAAAAGCATCGATCTTCCTTCGCTCAGCCTTCCCTAAGGTCCAGCTCTCACATCCGTAGGTTACTACAGGGAATACCATGGCTTTGACTAGGCGGATCTTTGTTGCCATTCTGATGTCTCTACTCTTTACTATTTTATCGAGATTGGACATTGCTCTCCTCCCAAGAAGTAAGCGTCTTCTGATTTCCTGGCTACAGTCTGCATCTGCAGTAATCTTTGCACCTAGAAATACAAAGTCTGTCACGCCCTCCACGGTTTCTCCCTCTATTTTCCAGTTGTCAATCATTCTTGTTGCCATAATCTTGGTTTTTTTGACGTTTAGCTGCAACCCGGCTTTTGCGCTTTCTTCTTTCACCTTGATTAGAAGGCTCCTCAGCTCCTCCTCGCTTTCGGACATCAGAGTGGTGTCATCTGCATATCTGAGGTTGTTAATGTTTCTTCCAGCAATTTTCACCCCAGCTTTGCATTCATCCAGCCCCGCACATCGCATGATGTGTTCTGCATACAAGTTAAAAAGGTTGGGTGAGAGGATGCAGCCTTGCCGTACGCCTTTCCCAATCTTGAACCAGTCTGTTGTTCCATGGTCAGTTCTGACTGTTGCTACTTGGTCCTTGTACAGATTCCTCAGGAGAGAGAAGGTGGCTTGGGATGCCATCCCACCAAGAACTTGCCACAATTTATTATGATCCACACAGTCAAAGGCTTTAGAATAGTCAATGAAGCAGAAGTAGATGTTTTTCTGAAACTCCCTGCCTTTCTCCATTATCCAGCGGATATTGGCAATTTGGTCTCTCGTTCCTCTACCTTTTCTACACCCAGCTTGAACATCTGGCAACTCTCGCTCCATGTATTGCTGGAGTCTTCCTTGCAGGATCTTGAGCATTACCTTACTGGCATGAGAAATAAGGGCCACTGTACGGAAGTTTGAGCAGTCTTTCGCATTTCCCTTTTTTGGTATGGGGATATAAGTTGATTTTTTCCAGTCTGATGGCCATTCTTGTGTTTTCATATTTGCTGGCATATGGCATTCATCACCTTAACAGCATCATCTTATAAGATTTTGAACAGTTCAGCTGGGATCCCGTCGTCTCTGCTGCCTTGTTGTTAGCAATGCTTCTTAAGGCCCATTCAACCTCACTCCTCAGGATGTCTGGTTCTAATTCATTCACCACACCGTCAAAACTATCCTCAATATTATTATCCTTCCTATACAGATCTTCTGTATAGTCTTGCCACTACTCATGATCTCTTCAGCTTCTGTTAGGTCCTTGCCATTTTTGTTTTTGATCATACCAATTTTCAACTGAAATTTACCTCAATGTTTCTAATTTTCTGGAAGAGGTCTCTTGTCCTTCCTATTCTGTTGTCTTCTTCCACTTCCATGCATTGCTTATTTAAAAATAGTTCCTTATCTCTTCTGGTTAACCTCTGGAATTGCGCATTTAACTGGGCATATCTCCCCTTATCCCTGTTTCCTTTTGCTTTCCTCCTTTCTTGGGCTACTTCCAGTGTCTCAGCAGACAACCATTTTGCCTTCTTGGTTTTCTTTTTCTTTGGGACGTACTTTGTTGCCGCCTCCTGAACAATGTCTCGGACTTCTGTCCATAGTTCTTCTGGGACTCTGTTTACTAAATCTAGTCCTTCAAATCTGTTCTTCACCTCCACTGTATATTCGCTAGGAATGTTAGTGAGATCATATCTAACTGGTCTGTGTATTTTCCCTGATCTCTTTAGTTTTATTCTAAATTGGGCAATAAGAAGTTCGTGATCTGAGCTACAGTCAGCCCCAGGTCTTGTTTTCACCGACTGGATGGATGTCCGCCACCTTTGGCTGCAAAGGATGTAGTCAATCTGATTTCGGTGTTGACCGTCTGGTGAGGTCCATGTGTAAAGCCATCTTTTAGGTTGTTGGAAGAGAGTATTCGTTATACACAGCGAGTTTTCCTGGCAAAATTCTATCAGCCTGCGTCCCGCTTCATTTTGTTCTCCCAGACCATGCTTGCCTGTGATCCCAGTTGTCATTTGACTTCCCACCTTGGCATTCCAGTCTCCTGTAATGAAAATAATGTCTCTTTTTGGTGTATTATCCAGTAGGTCCTGCAGATCCTCATAGAACTGATCTACTTCTGCTTCTTCAGCCGCTGTGGTTGGGGCGTATATTTGGATCACTGTAATGTTGAAAGGCTTTCCTTGCACTCGAATTGAGATCATTCTGTCATTTTTTGGGTTGTATCCAAGCACCGCTTTAGCGAATTTCTTATTAATTCTGAAGGCTACTCCATTTCTTCGATGTTCCTCTTGTCCGCAGTAGTAGATCTGGTGGTCATCTGATGTGAAGTGGCCCATTCCAGTCCACTTCAGTTCGCTGACCCCCAGAATGTCTATCTTTAGTCTTGACATCTCGCCAATAACAACATCCAATTTGCACTGGCTCATAGATCTTACATTCCAGGTTCCTATGGTGTGTTGATCTTTAGAGCATCGGATTCGTCGTTCACCTCCAGTACCGTCGGCCGCTAGCCTTCCTTTCGGCTTTGAGCTAGCTGCGTCATCACATCTGGGGCTAGTTGAACTTATCCTCTGCTCCTCCCCAGTAGCATTTTGGCCATCTTCCGACCTGGGAGTCCCATCTTCCAATGGCATACCGACATATCTCTGGTTGTCCTGGTCCATTTAGTTTTCTTGGCAAGGATACTGGAGTGGTTTGCCATTGCCTTCCCCAGGGATCACGCTTGGTCTGACCTCTCTGCCACAACCGTCCCGTCTTGGGTGTCCCTTCACGGTTTCGCTCATGACATCATTGAGGTGCTCAAGCTCCAGCGCCCCGACAAGGCGGTGATCCTTTGCTGGAGCTATCTATCTATACACACACATATATATATATATATAATCTATCTATCTATCTATCTATACATATACACACACACACACACACACATACATACACATACACTAGCTGCCCCTGCCATGCGCTGCTGTGGCCCAGTCTGTGTATATGTGTTTTGTGTGTGTATATATTTGTGTATATGTGTATTTATGTGGTTATGTGCATGTCTTGCAATGTATTTTTTTTTGCTTTCCATTGTGTTTTTAAGTGTTTTAATGAGTGATGGTCACTTGTTGGCCTGATTTATATTTATATAGAGTAGCCATCCCCTGCCATGCTTTGCTGTGGCCCAGTCTGTAGACATGTTTTTTGTGTCTGTATATATGTGTATATGTGTGTTTGCATATATAGATGTGTTTTTGCTCAAGCGTTGTAATGTATTTTTTTTGTTTTTGTCTTTTTAAGTCTCTTTTGCATTTTTCAGTGTTTTTATGAGTGTTGGTCACTCGTTGGCCTGAGAGGTGTGTTGTGTCCAAATTTGCTGTCAATTCGTCCAGTGGTTTTTGAGTTATGTTAATCCCACAAACGAACACTACATTTTTATTTATATAGATATCCAGGATATCTGCATGCCCATCCCCCTCCAAACACCCCACCTGGTCATGCCCAGCAGTTTTAATTTTAATTATTACATTTGGCCCTGCCATTGTTTTTAATTGCGTCATTGTGTGTTGTTAATGTTATTGCCTTGTTTTTTGAGTTATTTTGCTGTTGTTGCTGCTGTTTTACTATTGTATTTGGGCTCGGCCTCTTGTAAGCCGCACCGAGTCCTTCGGGAGATGGTAGCGGGGTACAAATAAAGGTATTATTATTATTATTATTATTATTATTATTATTATTATTATGATAGATAGATAGATAGATAGATAGATAGATAGATAGATAGATACACACACATATAGGTGCATTTCGGATTTTGCATTTCTGGATAAGGAACATCCAGGCAATACAAAGCCATACAAACACAGAGGCAAGGATAATCAATGCAATTTTCAACCAATGCAAAGAGAGAGATGGGAACCTTGTCGCACCCTCTGCAGTGAAAGGACTTTCCCATGGGAAGACTTACGGAAGTCACAAAAAAAGGGGGGGGGGTAGATATTATGTGCCGATGTACATAAGGACAGGCTGGGTGGTTCAAAGCCATATAGACCAACTCTTTGATCCTCGCCCAGTTTGCAAAGAGAAAGGCGTTGCTTTGTATTTGCTTAGGTGCCCATGTTGGAGCCATTCCAAAGCCATTTTTAAACTCTGAGGTCAAGAAAAGTATCACTGTCCAGAAGAATAGCTTTTGGCACTACTTCCCAAAATACCTCTGAAGCTTTTCCAAAAGTGGAGCCCTAAAAAAACAAAATATTTGATCTTTGGAAAGATTTGGGTGCCTTTGGGTGCACCTGCACTATACAGTTAATCTAGTCTGACACCACAAATGCTATAGCTCAATCCTGGGAGCTTTCTCTTGGCCAGAGAAAGCTAAAGATCTTGCAAAACTATAACTCCCGTGTTTTTGTAGCATTGCGCCATGCAGGTATCTCTACAATTGAATGAATGCAGCCGGACCCCACTTGCCCTGGATCAATAATATGGAATCATGGGAGTTTTAGTAAGAGCCTCTGGTGGCGCAGTGGGTTAAACCCCTGTGCCGGCAGGACTGAAGACCGACAGGTTGCAGGTTCGAATCCGGGGAGAGGCGGATGAGCTCCCTCTATCAGCTCCAGCTCCTCATGCGGGGACATGAGAGAAGCCTCCCACAAGGATGATAAAAACATAAAATCATCTGGGCGTCCCCTGGGCAACGTCCTTGCAGACGGCCAATTCTCTCACACCAGAAGCAACTTGCAGTTTCTCAAGTCGCTCCTGACATGACAAAAAAAGGTTTTAGTTTGGTGAGTCACCAGGACTCTTGGGCAGAAAAGGCCTAAAGACCTTGCAAAACGACAACTCCTATGACTCCATAGCATTGAGCGATGCATACATTTTCACAGTTGAATGAATTTAGTCGGGCCCCACTTGCCCTGGATCAATGCTATGGGATCCTGGGAGTTGTAGTTTTGCAAGGTCTCTCGTTGTCTCTGCCTCACCAAACTATAACTCCCATGATTCCATAGCACTGAAGCCATGGGTGCACTCCACTGTAGAATGAGTGCAGGTGGAGCCCACTTGCCCTGGAACAAGGCTACGGAATCATGGGAGTTGCAGTTTTGCAAAGTCTCTTGCCGTCTCTGCCTTGCCACACTACAACTCCCATGATTCCATAGCATTGAGCCATGGATGCTTCTCTACTGTAGGACAAATACAGTCGGACCCCACTTGCCCTGGGTCAATGCTATGGAATCCTGGGAGTTGTAGTTTTGCAAGGTCTCTCGCCAATTCTGCCTCAACAAACTATAACTCCCATGATTCCATAGCATTGAGCCATGGGTGCTTCTCCACCGTAGGACGATTGCAGGTTGACCTCAGTTGCCCTGGATCAATGCTACGGAATCCTAGGAGTTGCAGTTTTGCAAAGTCTCTTGCCATCTCTGCCTTGCCAAACTACAACTCCCATGATTCCATAGCATTGAGCCATGGGTGCTTCTCCACTGTAGGACGAATGCAGGTTGACCCCACTTGCCCTGGATCAATGCTACGGAATCCTGGGAGTTGTAGTTTTGCAAAGTCTCTCACTGTTGCTGCCTCAACAAACTACAACTCCCAGGATCCTACCACACTGACAGTTCCAAAGTGGCTACAAATTGGACTTACCGTGCCCAAAGTCCAGCAGGGGGAAGTATTGTCTGCATGAAAGGGGTCTGGTAGCCATAGAGGCAGATGAGGTGGCCGCCCGCGAAGACATCAATCATGACGCACAAGGCGTTGAAGGCCACGCGGCTGGCGGGGAAGTGGCAGGCCCACCAAGTGCAAAGACCCACAAAGAGCAGATAATAGATGGCAGAGAAGGCCGAGGGCAAGGTGATCCCTGAAAGAGGGAGAAAATCCATCTTAGAATCATAGCCTTGGAAGGGACCCCCAAAGGCCATCCAGTCCAGCCCCAATCTGCCATGAAAGAAGATACAATTACATGCGTACTTGATTGATGATAACCATGAAAACAGAACCCCCCAACTTTAAGAAACATAGGATAAGATATGCAAAAGACAGGAACTTTCTACCACATGTGGTGGACCTGCCTTTAGCATGGACTATGACTCCTCTCAATCTAGACACTGAACTCCTATGGTGCTAAATATGCACTATACAGCATGGAACACATCTCACCACGCTAAAACAGTGGATACGGCTTTTGATGTTTATGCCCTGCACCACTGGAGAAATCATACTTTTTAGTCGGTATTGCACCACCTGACATCCACTGGGAAATAGCAACCTGTTGTACTCCAGACCAGGAAAAGTCCTCTGACTTTAAACACCACACAGCTGAGTAGAAATGCAATCAGTTCACTGAAGATAATTAAAAAGCAGTTGTAGTGAAAAGCACTTTAAAAGAATAGGTAAATCCAATTAAGTAGGAAGATAAGGCAGAACAAATAGTCCAGGAAATTTCTCTTGAAATTCCCTATATTATTATAATCATCACCATCACCACCACCATCATCATCCTGGGTCTCCTGATTTCCTCTGTATCATCATCATCATCATCATCATCATCATCACCACCACCACCACCACTATTATCATAGCCTTCTCCAGATTTTCCCTTTATATCATCATCATCATTATCATCATCCTGCTTTTCTCCTGATATTCCCCTATATTGTCATCCTCACCATCCTCACCTTCGTCCTGTCTTTCAACCAATTGAGGGACTCAAGGGAGCTAACAATAAGTATAAACCAACATCCATTAAATCAAGGTGACAACCTAGAAATATGAAATTCAAAAAGCAATAAAACTATTTAGGTTATGAAAAGCATTACGCACCCAAATGTGAGCATGCATCAAAATATTAATCAACCTTAACATCAACCACACTAAGCCTGATGGTGGAGGAACAGTTCTCTCTTGGCATTTTCTAGGCCAGGCACGGGCAAACTTCAACTCTTAGGAATTGTGGGAATTGGAGTCCAAAACACCTGGGGGCTGAAGTTCGCCCATGCCTGCCTATGAGGATTCTGGCGACAAAGGTCTCCAAATATTGAAATATTCCAAGCTCAAGGAGAAGATGAATGTTGCATCCTGTTGTTTTGGTTCTCCACTGATACTCACCTGCCAAAGCCAGCAAGGCAACAGCCAAGATCTTGCCCATGGCCATCAGTAGCCAATGGGCCTTGACCCGGAGCCGGGCGGATAGAGGAGCCTGCCGCCTCGGAGAGACTTCAGCAGCAACATCGGAAATGTCTTGGGGTTTCGCCGGCTCCTCATCCACCGCTGCTTCTTCCTGAAATGAAGCAGAAAATGATGAGGTCTGGCATTCTAGTTGCACTGATCTTTACTGCAGCACCTCCCACAATGTGTTGGACTACAATTCCCCTAACCCTTTGCCGGAGTTTGGAAGTCCAACACACCTGGTCCATAATTCTCTGGAGGGGACCACAAATGGGTGATGGCCCCTTGGGTTTCTGTTTTTGTTGTTGTTGTTGCTTAAGTGACTGACGGGGGAAAGGAAGGGCCCAAGGTTTTTAGGAATTGTGGGAGTTGGAGTCCAAAGCACCTGAAGGGCTGAAGTTTGCCCATGCCTGCTTTAGGCTGACACGTTGCCAGAGGCGGCTCAACCCATTACGCAAAGTAAATATTTGCAGTATAGTTGATTTTGCCCAGGGGCGTTCTTGAAGCGCTCTTGGGGGAAAATAGACCTTGACATATGTGAGTTGTAGTTCACCTAAAATCAAAGAGCATTCTGAACTCCACCAATGATGGAACTGAACCAAATATGGCACACAGAACTCCCACGACGAACAGAAAATATATATCAGTGATTGGTTGGGGGGGGGGGTCAAAATACTGTTTGCTTACCTTTGAAAATTACCTAGGGCCACCTCTGCACATTGCTATCCACAATACACTTTTTGGGGAGGTCTGTGGATGATGGGGTGCACAATGACAGCAAGACTTAGATTATGAGAGGGGTTATTTATTGAGGGAGACATAAGAGGAGATGCCCAAAGGGTTTTTACAAGCAGCTGAAGAGGAGAAGGGCACTGCATATCCCTGCCCATGTTTCCGTGGTTAGCAGTGCAAGGGAAAATAAATAGATCCGCAGCCAGGGATCACTTTCCGTCTCCTGATTTGGTGCCAAAATGACACTCCATCTCCATATGATGCCCTTCATGCTTGCATTGCTGTTTACTCTCAGGCAAGAAGCTATAGGTTTGGTAGGAAGCTCTTCATCCAGACATTGCCTCCACATTGCAGAATCCGGGAAGACACAATTTAAGCCCTCTCAACAGATAGCCATCCAGCTTCTGTTGAAGACGTCACCGGACTCCGACATACCCCACTGTTTAAAATATTCCATTGTTAAATTGTTAGAATTAGCAATATATTAGACAGAAGATGCAAAAAAAGGGGATGCTGCCCCATAACAATATATGATGTTTAATTCTGTTGTAATTGTTAAATATGTGTACTTTTTAACTGCACTGAAATAACTCTCTAGTGCAAGCCGCTTTGAGTCTGCTTTTGGAGAGAAAAAGTGGAGTGTAAATAAACATAATCATAATATAACCCAATTGATAAATTTTGAACTTGCATTTCACATTTCATCTTCATTTTGTGTATTTAAATATGTATTTTGTGGAAATGTGTTTTGATATGTGTACCTTAAAGAATGTTTTTAGGTGAATGTGTGTGTTTTAGCGATGTTGTATGTAACCCGCCTCAAGTTGTGAGGAGAGGCAAGCAAGACACAAAAGCAATAATAATAATAATAATAATAATAATAATAATTAAAAAAAAACCAGTCAAGGTGGTCCCAGTGGTGATCAGCACACTGGGTGCAGTGCCTAAAGACCTTGGCCTGCACTTAAACACAATCAGCGCTGACAAAATTACCATCTGCCAGCTGCAGAAGGCCACCTTACTGGGATCTGCACGTATTATTCGCCGATATATCACACAGTCCTAGACACTTGGGAAGTGTCTGACGTGTGATCCAATTCAACAGCCAGCAAAGTGTCTGCTGTGGACTCATCTTGTTATGTTTCAAATAATAATAATAATATTGCAGTGTTCCAGTTCAATCTCTCATGGCATTGAGGCTGAATGTAGATAATCGTGGGGGACAGGCGGGCAAGAAATAAAAATTAATATTAATAAATATTTATTATTAATAATAATACTATTGTTCTTAAAATAATAATAATAATAATAATAATAATAATAATAATAATAATATTTCAGTGTTCCAGTTCAATGTCTCATGCTATTGAGTTTGAATGCAGTTAATCGCAGGCAGGCAGAAAATAAAAATAATAATTAATATTAATAAATATTTATTAATAATAATACTATTGTTCTTAATAATAATAATAATAATAATAATATTGCAGTGGTCTTGTTCGATCTCTCATGGCATTGAGGCTGAATGCAGATAATCGTGGAGGGCAGGTAGGCAGGAAATAAAAATTATGGTTAATATTAATATTAATAAATATTTATTAATAGTAATACTATTGTTCTTAATAATAATAATAACAATATTGCAGTGGTCTGGTTCAATCTCTCGTGGCATTGAGGCTGAATGCAGATAATCATGGAGGACAGGCAGGCAGGAAATAAATATTAATATTAATATTAATAAATATTTATTATTAATAATAATACTATTTTTTAGGGCTGGGCGGTTTCATTCGTTAATTTCGTAATTCATTATTAATTCGTATTTAAATTAGCTTACGATCCGATATTGAGCCATTTTGGAATAGTGTGAGGAGTTAAATAGATTCGAAACAATTTTTTCAATTTATTTCGTAATTGTTTCGTAATTGTTTCGAAATTGTTTCGAAATTGTTTCGTAATTGTTTCGTAATTATTTTCGCATGCCTGGTGCAAGTTTTATAGTTGTTGTTTGTTTTATCACACCAACAGTCAACAACAGAGGGAGAGGGAAGCTTCAGAAGTTCCCCCTGTCCCATTTGGAGGTTTTTTCAGCATATTTTTAGCATATTTGGAGGGTTTTTTTTAGCATATTGCGCAATCGCGTCCGCCATCGATTCGAAATTTACAAAATTTCGTATATTTCAAAATTTTTAAAAGGAAAATTTCGGAATTCTTTAAAGAAACGAAACGTGATGGACCCCTTAAAAACGAATCGAGTTTAGAAACAAATTTTTCCGTGGTTACCCAGCCCTACTATTGTTCTTAATAATAATAATAATAATAATGCAGTGGACTTGTTCAATCTCTCATGCCATTGAGGCTGAATGCAGATAATCATGGAGGACAGGCAGGCAGGAAATAAATATTAATATTAATAAATAATAATAATAATAATAATAATAATAATAATAATAATAATGCAGTGGTCCTGTTCAATCTCTCATGCCATTGAGGCTGAATGCAGTCCTTTGGGGAACCTTAAATGAAAGGAAACCTGGGTGATGCCCCATCACAATATTGCAATGGTCCAGTTTAGTTACTCCGGTCATTGAGGTTGAATGGGATCTTTGAAGGCCCCTTTCTGACTTTCCCAGGTGGCCTTTTTTCCCATCTTCTTATTCCGACGTCATGCAAACCCGGTCCTTTCCTTGCTCCCCTGCAAGCCTGGCTTGCAGCACATTCCTGGCCTTCCTGCGGCTGGCCCTCGGTGCCAGCAAGCAGGTGGCGATGCTTTCCTTCTGGATTTTTCCTGTGTGGGATTCCCCCTCCAGACTCAAGACATAATGCGGCCTCTGTTTGAGCCCCGATGTTTTGTTGGGGGGTTTCCACAGCAACCCCGGACGGTTTGGCCAGGCGAGAGGGAAGCCTCCTTCTTCTCCTTCTTTGGAGGCCGGTGAGTCAAGCGGGTCCAAGGTGCCAGGAAAGAAGTGTCTCTGGTCCCAAAACCCCCCTCTTTCGGAAGGAATGAAGAGAAGACGGAAAGCGGAGGGATGATGGAAAGCACAGCTTTTGGAAATAAGGGGACCACAAAGAAGTCCAAGGAACTGATGCGGCAGAACTCAGAAACAGTTCTCTTTTGGGGACGGCGGCTCCCAGGATGCCCTATCAATGGGACAATTCTTAGAAGAGTTTTGGACTAGATAGCTTTTGGGGGCCCCTTCTGACTAGTAGAATATAGATTACCTGGGAGTCCAGTGGAGTCTCTTTTGGAAGTTTTTAAGCAAAGGCTGGACACTCAACTGTCGGGAATGGTCTGATAGTGTCTTCTTGCTTGATAGGAGGGGGTTGGACTGGATAGTCTTTGGGGGTCCCTTCTGACTCCAACAGAATATAGTCTGCCTGGGAGTCTGATAGAATCTCTTTCTCTGGAGGCTTTTAATTAGAGGTTAGATGGTCATCAATCGGGAGTGCTTTGATTGAGTCTTCCTGCTTGGCAGAAAGGAATATAGACTACCTGGGTGTCCAGTGGAGTCTCCTTTGAGGGTTTTTAAGCAAAGGCTGGATGGCCATCTGTCAGGAGTGATTTGATACTGTCTTCCGGCTTGGTAGGAGGGGGTTAGACATAGTATTTGGGGGTCCCTTGTGACACCAGTGGAATATAGACTACCTGAGAGTCCAGCGGAATCTCCTTTGGAAGGTTTTAAGTAAAGGCTGGCCATCAGTCAGGAGTGGTTTGATGGTCTTCCTGCTTGGACTGGGTGGTCTTTGGGGTCCATTTGACCCCAGTGGAATATAGACTGTCTGGGAGTCCAGTGGAGTCTCCTTTGGAGGGTTTTAAGCAAAGGCTGGATGGCTATCTGTTGGGAGTGGTTTGATAGTGTCTTCTTCCTTGGTAGGAGGGGGTTGGACTAGATGGCCTTTTGGGAATCCCTTCTAACATTAATTGAATGCATGCCTGGGAGTTCAGTGGAGTCTCCTTTGGATGGTTTTAGCTAGAGGATGGATGGCCATCTGTTGGGAATAGTTTGATGGTGTCTTCCTACTTGGACCGGATAGCCTTTGGGGGGGTATCTTCTAACTTTAGTGGAATATAGACTGCCTGAGAGTCCAGCTGAGGTTTTGAAATAAAGGCTAGATAGCCATCTGTCGGGAGGGCTTTGATTGTGTCTTCCTGCTTAGTAGGAGAGGGCTGGACTGGATGTCCTTTGGGGGTCCTTTCTGACTCTAGGGCAATATAAACTACCTGGGAGTCCAGTGGAGTCTCCCTTGAGGGGTTTTAAGCAAAGGCTGGATGGCCATCTGTAGGGAGCAGTTTGATTGTGTCTTCCTGCTTGGTAGAAAAGGCCTGGACTGGATGGAATTTGGGGTTCCCTAATTAGTGGAATGTAAACTACCTGGGAATCCAGTGGAGGTTTTGAAATAATGGCTAAATGGCCATCTGTCAGGAGGGCTTTGATTGTGTCTTCCTGCTTGGGAGATGAGAGATGGACTGGATAACCTTTGGGGTTCCCTTCTAATAAGTGGAATATAAACTACCTAGGAGTCAAGTAGAGGTTTTGAAATAAAGACTAGATGGCCATCTATCGGGAGGGCTTTGATTATGCCTTCCTGCTTAGTAGAAGAGGGCTGGACTGGATGGTCTTTGGGGTTCCCTTCTCTGATTCTTTGATAAGATAGAACTCTGCCTCTCACCTGTTCCTGCAGCTGCTGAGATACGGATCGCCGGCTGCTCCCGGGTGCCGGTTTGCGTGATGGCGCTAAGCGGCCGCAGACACCGAGGCAAATGGCGGAGACCAGCAGGATGCCCACGTCGGGGGCCACCAGCCGCACCGAGTTGGGGATGTCGTTCAGGTCCAGCCTGGAAGTCGGAGATCAAGGAGAATGTGGGATAACAGTCAGACACAACCTTTGTGTGTGCAAAGCAACTAAGGACCCCTTCCCTTCCTTATGGCACCGTCATTCGGTATTGCCCCAACTTTCTGGGTTTCCCTTTCCTAGGTATTAATATTAAAAATATTTTATATTGTGTTGTTGAAGGCTTTCGTGGCTGGAATCAGGGGGTTGCTGTGAATTTTTCAGGCTGTATGGCCAATATGTTCCAGTAGCATTCTCTCCTGACATTTCACCTGCATCTGTGGCTAATGGCATCTTGTCCAGGGTGGGAGAAAGAACCCGTTTCTGTTTAAAGCAAGTGTGAATGTTGCTTTTAGCAAGCTTGAATAGCCGTGAAGCTGCAAAGTCGATCAGTGAGGGTATCTGCATAGAAGTAGCCTGGCCTCTGTAGCCTGGAGGCATCCTTTGCTTGTCAATAAACACCTCCAAACAAAGGATGCCTCCAGGCAACAATAGCCAGGCTACCTCTATGTAAATACCCTCACTGATTGACTTTGAAAACTTCATGGCTACTCAATGCTAATCAAGCTTGCTAACTGCAACATCGTTCTTTCTCCCACCCTGGACATTATTCCATAGTTATATACTCCATTTGCTTAATCGCCAACAGAACCTCTGAAGGTGCCATTAGCTATAGATGAAGGCAAAACATCAGGAGAGAATGCTGCTGGAACATGAACCTCTGATTATTCCACGGAGATAAATATATAGAGAGAGGGGGGCGGGGAGAGGAGATACACACACACACACACACACACACTCCACTTGCTTCACTGCTGACAGAACCCCTGAACATGCAATTAGCCACGGATGCAGGCGAAACATCAGGAGAGAATGCTGCTGGAACATGGACATATAGCCTGAAAAACTCACAGCAACCCCCTGATTCCGGCCATGAAAGCCTTCGACAACACAATATTAAAAATGCCAGACTTTTGAAAACAACCTAAAGTATTCCTTATAAAGTGTCTTCAAGGATTTCCCGATCCAAAGATTAATACATGCCAATGCTTCCCGCCTCCTGAAATGCCACCCCCTTCTTACCTTGTGACTCCAATGTGCTGAGCGAGGGTTTCCCATGTGCTGCCTAAGAAGGAGATAGAAAACCCTAATTAAAACAGAGTACAAACTCTTGGTTTTGAACATAACTCCCAAGCAACAATGTGCGTACGGCAGCAAATCATGGAGGCTGAACAAAACAATCAGATAGTTGGTGAAAATAGGATTCATAGGTTCAGGCATCTACAAATAATACAAATAATAATAATAACAACTTTGCCCCAAACTGCACAAGCTATTCAAGGTAGTCCCAGTGGTGATCGGCACACTGGGTGCATTGTCTAAAGACCTTGGCCTGCACTTAAACACAATTGGCACTGACAAAATTACCATTTGCCAGCTGCAAAAGGCCACCTTACTGGGATCTGCATGCATTATGTGCTGATACATCACACAGTCCTAGACACTTGGGAAGTGTCCGACTTGTGATCCAATACAACAGCCAGTAGAGTGTCTGCTGTCGACTCATATTGTGTTTCAAATAATAATAATAATAATAATAATAATAATAATAATAATAATAATAATTTATTTATACCCTTATGATGACAGAGGCATTATTATTATTATTATTATTATTATTATTTGATACAAAACAAGATTAGTGCTCAGCAAACAAGATCATTAGGCTGGTTTTTGTACTAGATCACATGTAGGACACTTCGCCAACCTTTTGGTCAGCAAGTTCAGCAGCTCAGCGGTTTGACCCGCTGAGCCATCAGTGACTTCCCCCATGGCCACCTCTAGGTCTCAGGGTTCTTATATTTATTTAGTTATATCCTCATGGAGAACTGAGTAACATTATCATTAATAATAATAATAATAATAATAATAATAATAATACCACCCCATTCTCCATGAGGGTCCTGATCTTGAATTGTAACTGCATGGATGCAAACAGAGTGTGATGCAAACCCATGCTTGCCAATAGATACCGTATATACTCGAGTATAAGCCGATCCGAATATAAGCTGAGGCACATAATTTTACCACAAAAAACTGGGAAAACTCATTGACTCGAGTATAAGCCGAGGGTGGGAAATGCAGCAGCTACTGGTCAATTTCAAAATAAAAATAGATACCAATAAAATTACATTAATTGAGTAAGTTAAATGTTTTTCAATGTTTACATAAAACTGTAATTTAAAGTAAGACTGACCAACTTTGATTAAACCATTATTTTAACTTTTTTCAGTGTAAATGTGCTTACGTATCCTTCCAATAATAATAGAGTAAAATAATAAATGTAATAATAACAATAATAAAGTAAAACAATGTAATAATAAATGTAATATAATAATATAGTAGAATAATGTAAATCTAATAATACCAATAATAGAGTAAAATAATAAATGTAATAATAACAATAATAAAGTAAAACAATATATGTAATAACAATAATAAATAAAATAAATGTAATAAAATAACAATAAGAGTAAAAGAATGTAAATGTAATAATACCAATAATAGAGTAAAATAATGCATGTAATATTAACAATAATAAAGTAATAGATGTAATAAAATAGAATAAAATAATGCATGTAATAATAACAATAATAAAGTAAAATAATAAATGTAATAATAATAAATAGAATAAAATAAATGTAATAAAATAATACAGTAGAATAATGTAAATCTAATAATACCAATAATAGAGTAAAATAATAAATGTAATAATAACAACAATAATAAAGTAAAATAATAAATGTAATAATAATAATAAATAAAATAAATGTAATAAAATAACAATAAAGTAAAATAATGTAAATGTAATAATACCAATAATAGAGTAAAATAATGCATGTAATAACAATAATAAAGGAATAAATGTAATAAAAATAGAGTAAAATAATGCATGTAATAATAAAAATAATAATAAAGTAAAATAATAAATGTAATAATAATAGAGTAATATTAATGTAATAAAATAATAGAGTAAAATAATGTAAATGTAATAATACCAATAATAGAATAAAATAATAAATGTAACAAAAATAATACTAATAACATTCTAAAATAATAAATAACTTTGACTCAAGTATAAGCCGAGGGGAGCTTTTTCAGCCTAAAAAAGGAGCTGCAAAACTAGGCTTATACTCGAGTATATACAGTATATGCCTGCAAGCATGCACGCAAGCAGAGCCTTAGGCAGCAATTTCCTCTGGTTTCAAGTTCTGGAAGGCAGCAAATATAACAGCATGGGTTCTCCTCTGTTTCTATTTGTGGGGGAAGCCCATGAAGTGCTTCTCCTTATGGGGCTTGGGGAATCCAAGGTGGAAGCCGGCCAGAAAAGACAAGAGAAGGGTGATGACAGCTCCTATAATTCTCCGAGATGGTCAAGCTCTCCCCGTTCGCCAAGTGATTCAATGGGTATGCTCTAATTCTTGACAGGACTGTGAAGAGTCAGGGCGGTGTAATGGATTGAGACTGGATATGCAATGCAGTTTGAAACAGTGCAGGCCCATATAATGGAGTCTAACAGATGAGGGTGAAATGTCAGGAGAGAATGCTGCTGGAACATGGCCATGCAGCCTAGAAAACTCACAGCAACCCAATCAATCAATCAATACGCCCTCCCTAGGGACATTAGATCGGCCTCCTCCCTCCTGACATTTCGAAAGAGAGTTAAGACCTGGCTGTTCGAGCAGGCATTTGCAGACGCAGTATAACTGATTAATTGAGACTCATGGAACGACAGGACAATGCGATGGAAAACTATTTTAATGATGAGATGCTGATAACTGTATTTTATGATTTTATTTATTATTTATTATTTATTTATTTAAAGCTTTTATAACCCGGTCTTCTCGACCTCCGAAGAGGGACTCAGGCCGGTTAACAACAGGAAATTCATATACAAATAAGATAAAACATAATAACATCATAGTACATTAATACATTAAATACATTAAAATACAGATCAAATAATTACATAAAGCCAAGTCATCAAGATAAATTACAAATTCATCATCATCCACCCGTGTGGTCAACAGTAATTGACTCGATCATCACTCTGAGAATGCTCTGTTCCAAAGCCAAGATTTTACCAGCTTTCTGAAAGCCAGGAGGGAAGGGGCAGATCTGATCTCCATTGGGAGAGATTTCCAAAGCCGAGGGGCCACCACCGAGAAGGCCCTGTCCCTCATCCCCACCAGACACAATTGCGAAGGTGGTGAGACCCCTCCAGACAACCTTGATGGTTCATAGGGGAGAATCCGTTTGGACAGGTAAACTGGGCCGGAGCCGTTTAGGGATTTATAGGTCAACACCAGCACTTTGAATTGTGCTTGAAAGCTTATTGGCAGCCAGTGGAGCTGGCGCAACAGAGGAGTAGTATGCTCCCTGTACCCCGCTCCTGTTAGTAATCTGGCTGCCGCTCGTTGGACTAGTTGTAGCTTCCGGACAGTCTTCAGAGGCAATCCCACGTAGAGAGCGTTGCAGTAGTCTATACGGGATGTAATCAGAGTGTGAACCACTGTGGCCAAGTCAGACTTCCCAAGGTATGGTCGGTTTATTGTTTATTGTTATTGTTTTTATACGGTTTATACTATATGTAATTGGTTTTGACTGTATTTTATCTTGTGGGGCATTGATTGCCAAATGTAAACCGCCTCGAGTTGCCTCGGGCTGAGAGGGGCAGTATACAAGCATAGTAAATAAATAATAAATAAATAAATCCACCAATAGATTCAGTACAGAATATAGAAGAGCTCGTTTTGAAATCCACCCCATTTCAAAACCAAAAAAAACTGGAAAACATCCCACAATGTAGCATCGATTGGGGGGAAAAAAGAATGCAAAATAGAACAAGGAGAGTTCATTTGCAAAACATAAAGCCAGATTAGATATATGCACGCACACACACACACACACACACCTTTTGTAACATTTGGATTTTTCTGTTTAATAAAGGCTGTTATGCAAGTCTGCATTTTTTTTAAAAGCAAGGGGGAAAGTGAGCAAATGGATGATTCGTTCCCAAACTTTTTCCAAACTTTTCTGCTCCATCCAGGTGACAAAATGAGCCTGGTTTGTCCCATCTGGGTTTCCAGGCAAGGAAAGAAATCTGACTTTTCTTGGTCAAATAAAAAAAGCCCTAAACGTTTTCCAGACCCCTCCTTGGTACCCCTTTCAGTCGGCAAAGCAGACATTTGGATGCAAACAAGCCCAAGACCTTACATTTCAGCCAGCTTCCAAGGGTCAAGCCCTGGCTTTCAAGGCCTCTGTTTTACAACCGCTTGTAAATAGCTCTCTAAAGCAAAATGTCAGCACCAACATCAAAGGAACAGCAGGAGGGAACAAACAGAAAGAGAGAAAAGAAGAACAAAGTTTTCTAATAAGTCTGGGATGCAAAAGGCACAAGATGCACAGAACATTTCGCTTCCTTTTGATCAAAGATAAGAACAAAGATAAGAACAAAAAGATGTAAGGAACACCTTGCCAAGGACAAGTCAATACAGACCAGTGTTTCTCACCATTCTTAATGCCACGACCCCTCAATACAGTTCCCTATGTTGTGGTGACCCCCAGCCATATTTTTTTCCGTGCTACTTCATAACTGTCATTTTGCTACTGCTATAAATTGTAACGTAAATATCTGATAAGCAGGATGTATTTTCATTCACTGGAACAAATTTAGCACAAATACCCCATACGCCCAAATCTGAATACTGGTGGGATTGGGGAAATTTGATTTTGTCATTTGGGAGTTGTAATTGCTTGGATTTAGGTCACAGGTCCGCAGTCTGGGTGTCCTCCTGGACTCATCACTTATGCTTGAAGCTCAGGAGTCGGCAGTGGCCAGGAGAGCCTTCACACAATTAAGACTCGTGCACCAGCTGCGACCGTACCTCGTGAAGTTGGATCTGGCCAGGGTGGTCCATGCCTTAGTCTCCTCCAGATTGGATTACTGTAATGCGCTCTACATGGGGCTGCCCTTGAAAACGGCCCGGAAATTTCAATTGGTATAACGGGCGGCACGCAGGTTACTAAACAGAGCGGTCAACCCTCCTGTTTAAGGAGCTCCACTGGCTGCCATTCATTTTCTGGTCCCAATTCAAGGTGCAGGTTCTTACCTACAAAGCCCTGAATGTTTTGGGACCCGCCTACCTGTGTGACCACATTTCTGTATACGAACCCACACAATCTCTTTGATCATCTGGAGAGGCCCTGTTCACGCTCCCACCTCCTTCACAGGCACAATTGGTGGGGAAAAGGGAGAGGGCCTTCTCGCTGGTGCCCCCCCCCCCAACTCTGGAACTCACTTCCCAAGGACATCAGGCATGCCCCAACTCTGGCAGTCTTTAGGAGGAGCCTGAAAACGTGGCTGTTCCAGTGTGCCTTCCCAGAATAAGGAGAACTCTCAGCAATATGCCCTCAGAATGCACTTTACTACTGATTTAGGATTGACTGTGTCCCCTCATCTCTCTTTGAAAACCCTATACCAGTTATAACCTAACTTGTTCATGCCCAGCGTTTAATTTTTAATTTTTAAACTATTACATTTGGCCTGGCCATAGGTTTTTAAATCCTTTGTGTTATTTTTATTAGTTATTGTTTATATGTGATTTATATTAATTGTATTGTATTTATTGTTTTTGTTTATTGCTTTTGTTTATTGATGTACTGTTGGGCTTGGCCTCATGTAAGCCACTCTGAGTCCCTTGGGGAGATGGTGGCGGGGTATAAATAAAGTATTATTTATTTATTTATATTTATATAATAATATAAATATTTATATTTATATTATTAATTATAGTTTGCCTACAATCAAAGAGCATTCTGAACTCCAGCAATGATGGAATTGAGCCATACTTGGCACACAGAACTCCAACAGAAAATACTGGACAGATTTGGTGGGCATTGACCTTGAGTTTTGGAATTGTAGTGCACCTACATCAAGAGAGCACTGTGGACTCAAACAATGATGGATATGGACCAAACTTGAATACTCAATATGCCCACATGTGAACACTGCTGGAGTTTGGGAAAATAAATTTGACTTTTTGGAGTTGTAGTTGCTGGGATTTATAGTTCACCTACAGTCAATGAGCATTCTGAACTCCACCAAAAACAGAATTGGGTCAAACTTGGCACACAGAACTCCCATCACAAACAGAAAATACTGGAAGCGTTTGGTGGGCATTAACCGTGAGTTTTGGAGTTGTAGTTCGCCTACATCCAGAGAACACTGTGTACTCAAACAATGATGGATCTGAACCAAACTTGGGACGAATACTCAATATGTCCAAATGGGAACACTTGTAGAGTTTGGGGAAAAAAGACCTTGACATTTGGGAGTTGCATTGCTGGGATTTATAGTTCACCTACAATCAAAGAGCATTCTGAACCCCACCAATGATAGAATTGGGCCAAGCTTTCCACACAGAACCCCCATGAAACACAGAAAATGCTGTGTTTTCTAATGGTCTTTTGCGACCCCTCTGACACCCCCTCATGACCCCCCCCCCTCCAGTCTCAATCCCCAGGTTGAGAAATGCTGATCTAGTGGGTCCTTGGTATCTGTTAAGGTTCAGTTCTAAGATCCAAAAATCCAAAGATGCCCAAGTTATAGTGGTCAAAATGGCATCCTTTATAATAAAATAGCAAAATCAAGGTTGTTTTTTGGAGTCATAGAATCGGAAGGAACCCTAATGGTCATCCAGTGCATCTCCATTTGGCTATATAGTAACATACAACCCAAGTACAAGGGATTGCCATGAAAATGTCACATAAATGGAGGATAAGACAGTAAGACGGCTGCCTCATTATACAATTCCCTTGCTGGTATTTTGTTAATTAAGCTTTAAATACATTGGTCCATATATGTCTTCACTGAATGAAAAGTGAAGAGTGCTATTGCACGAATGAATAAACTCAATGGCATCCTAGCCCAATGCATGGCAGCGCTAAACCCAATTAAACCGAGGACTGTGTTCAAACACAACTCAATTAAAAACAATTGTCGCAAAGCATGCCAATTTAGGAAAACACAGGACCATCCCTGGAAAAGCTCCTTCCTGAAAAAGTCCAGAACTAGATAGAATAAAAATAGCATCTGTCTTTGAATACTTGTTATGTATTCAAGGCTGTTTGTACATTGCAAAAATATTGGGAGCTGGGCCATTTGAGAGCACTACAACTGCTATGTAATCCTGGGAGTTGCAGTTTGGTGAGGCACCTGCACTCTTGGGAAGAGAAGGCAAAAGATCTTGCAGAACTGAAACTCCCAGGATTGCACAGCATTACAGTGGTGTCATAGAATCATAGAATTGGAGAGACTTCATGGGCCATCCAGTTCAACCCCCTGCCAAGAAGCAGGAATATTGCATTCAAAGCACCCCTGACAGATGGCCATCCAGCCTCTGTTTAAAAGCCTCCAAAGAAGAAGCCTCCACCACACTCCAGGGCAGAGAGTTCCATTGCTGAACAAGTGGAATTAACTTAACATTGTTGAATAGATGGATCCCAAGAGAAATGGCGCAAAGTACTCACAGTTGTATCCCAGCAGCTGGTCCAAGCCAGGCACTGTGTAGAGGCATATCTGGAAGGTCAAATGGGCAAGGAGGAAGAGGATGCTGGTGGCCAAAAGGGCTCGGAGGAGGCGCCCCGTGTGACCTGCAAATCCAAGCACAGAGAAGCAAGAACTTAGCACTCTCCTTGTGTCTTCAATAGGGTTGGATACACCTTTGGATATACCTTTGGCTTCATGCTCATGTTTTGTTCCTTGTCTTTTGGAGTTATTTTGGAAGTCGTGTTCATGTTTTGATCTGGATTTACCTATTGCCTTTTGAACTTACTTCCTTCATTAACTCTTTTTTACCTTTCCATTTGCTTATTATTTATTTATTTATTTATTTACTTCATTTGTTGACCGCCGCTCTCAGCCCTGGGGCGACTCGCGGCGGTGTACAACATGTAAAAACAGTCTACAAAAACATACAATATAACAACAACCGAATTACACATTAATCTTATGATGCCTTTCCCCTTTTTATATGTTCTTTTATCAATAAACTGTTTATTACCATGTTGGGTTTCTTAGTGAGTGCTGTGAGCAAGGTGAACTCCTGCTGAGGTGCAACATGAACAATGGATTTTACATGGCCTGGGAAATGGCCAGAGGGATTTGCCCAACCTTCTGAATTATCTCAGCAGGGTTATGAAGAATCACAGAATCATTGAGTTGGAAGAGTTGGGCCATCCAGTCCACCCCCCTACCAAGAAGCAGGAAAATCGACAAGAAGTGATTGTCTCTGGGCTAAATTTTGATACATTCTATAAAGAAGTTTATACATTTCATATATATAAAGAATAGATACAGTACACAGAAAGATACAAGTTACACTGAAAGTCAAACAGAATAGATACAATTGATTAAAGCGTTCAAACAATATAGTATTGGGGGGGGYGGGTGTCACTGATCCGTTCCCGATCTCCGATTCTTTGAACTCACTAAAGTTTGGAAAATYTTTTTTAATAAGAAAAAAATCATACATTTATTTCAGAGCCCTTGGTGAACTATAGATCTTCTGCAGGATGGGGGGGGGGGGMTGTATCGTGCCTCAACAATATTTCTTGCAACAGCCCTATAAAACAGGTTCACTTTAGAGCCATCTGTCCACATTTGCAAGTTTAATTTTTTGTTGTTGGATTATTCTTGCATTTGATGGTCTGTCTAGAAATCTTTAGGTCCTCCAATACAATGCTATATGGTCAGTATATGGTGTCAAACAGGGATGTTTTATTGCTCCAACTTTATTTTCCACCTTCATCACTATGATCTTGCATCTTGTTGATGGGAAGCTTCCCACCGGAATGGAAATCATCTATCGGACAGATGGCAAGCTATTGAACCTCAGCAGACTGAAAGACAAAACCAAGGTCACAACAACATCTGTTATAGAACTCCAATATGCTGATAATAATGTAGTCTGTGCACATTCAGAAGACGACCTACAAGCCACTCTAAACACCTTTGCAGAAGAATACGTGAAGCTTGGCCTCTCACTGAACATCGTGACAACCAAAGTGCTCTTCCAGCAGTTACCAGCCAATCCCTCTCCAATGTTGACCATTTCTGCTCCCTTGGCAGCCACCTCTCCACAAAAGACAACATTAACACTGAAATAAAACACTGCCTGAGCTCTGTGAGTGCAGCATTATTCCAAATGAAGCAGAGCCTGTTTGAGGACTGGGACATCCATAGGGAGACCAAGGGGCTTGTTTATAAAGCTATTGTCCTACCAACCCTGCTATAAACCTGTGAAACATGGACTGTCTACAGATGTCACAACTCAACTCCTGGAATGATTCCATCAGTGTTGCCTCTGGAAAATCCTGCAAGTCTCTTGCGAAGACAGGCAGACAAATGTCAGCATGCTGGAAGAAGCAAAGACCACCAGCATTGAAGCAATGCTCCTAGCCACATTGTCCGAATCTCCAATCACTTTCTCCTAAGACAGTTATTATACTACCAACTCAAGAATGGAAAATGGAATGTTGGTGGACAGGAAAAGAGATTTAAAGATGGACTTAAAGCCAACCTTAAAACTGTGGCATAGATACCAAGAGAGAACTGGGAAGCCGTGGCCCTTGAGCGCTCTTGCTGGAGGTCAGCTGTGACCAGCAGTGCTGCAGAATTTGAAGAGGCACAAATAGAGGGCAAAAGGGAGAAATGTTCCAAGAGGAAGAAGGTGCGTCAAGGCATCCCTGACCGGGACCGCCTGCAAACCAATGTCCTCACTGCGGGAGAACATGCGGATCAAAAATAGGGCTCTCCAGTCACCTTCGTACCCACCCCCAAGACATTACACTTGGACTACGAGGGATCGTCTAAATCACAAAAAATATGGTCAATCTCTGGTGGAAGCTGACCATAGGATTGTGCTGGAGGACCTAAATATTTCTACAAGGAATACCAATCTAAGAATCCATAGATCCTCCGGCACATGACCAACTTCTGCAGAGAATCTACAGATTCAGAGGGAGATGTTCTCTTAAGGATAGCAACTCCTGTGTTTTCCTACTTTTGGCACTTGGTACATGCTCATGATATGTGCCATATGGAGAGAGCTTTCAGAATAAAGAACTCCAGTATCAGGATGTTCATTGTGTCATGCTTATAATTTGGATTGGATGCATGATATGTGGAGAAAAGTCTCATTGTGGCATTTATTTACTTATCGTGTCAGTATCAACCAGACAATTGTATTACATTTTTAACAAACAGAAAATCATTAAAAATTATTAAAAATCATTGTGGCATGATGCGTGGAGAAAAATCTCACTGTGACAACTTAGGCCATGGCTGTCATAGATATTAAATCCCAAAGTATAACTTAATAGGATCTTCTGGTTTTCATTGATTTACTACACCATTAAACCAGTGAAAGTGGAGAGCCTGTTGTATTTACCATTGTTTCCATAAAACAGATATCTAATGAGGGTTTGAACAAGGGGATGGACTAGATGGCCTCGGTGGGATCCATCTGAATTCATAATTCTTTGATTCTAGGAATCCTGTGTTGTTTTCAGCCTTTCTCCGCTTTGACATGTTTGCTTTTCCAATGAAACTGCAGGTTTCCAAGTTTGTTTTCAGTCTCCTCCCTCTTCTAGAATGCCAAAACGCCTCTCCAAAGGGTCTCCTGTTGCCAGCAACGTGGTGGTGTTTTAGGCCCCAGCTCCTTTTGCCATGCCAACCTCCCTGGACTGGAATGCCAGGCAATTCCCCAAATCCAAAAAAATGGTTCAAAGCATCCCCGGAGCACAGTGTGCCTGCCTTCCCTCCCTTCTCTGCACCTCCTTCGTGCCGCACATCCGGCTCTGTGTTTGCAGAAGCCGTTTGCCTTGGCAAAGAGGGCAGCCGTGACATCACTCCTCTAGGTCATACGCCAAATATGCACGAACGGCCCACTCACTCCTGACGCAGCACAAGGCGGTCAATCAGTAGCGGGGCCCTATTTATGTGGGGCATTGTCCAGCCCTTAAAGCTACAAGAGCGTGCGATTGCTCAGGAAACGATGGCTTGGAGAGGAGAGAATCCTAGACCTGGAATTGATCTTAAAGACCACCCAGTCCAGCAGGAAGACACAATCGCATTGGCTTTTTTAGCCACCACATCACAGCATTGGCTCATATTTAGCTTGCAGTAGCACCATAGAATCTTAAAGTCGAAAGGGCCATCCAGTCTAACTCCATTGTGCCAGGAAGCAAGCTGTACCTCAATATCCGCGGATTTTGCTTACGTGGATTTGAAAATATATTATTGATGCATGATATGTGGAGAAAAGTCTCATTGTGGCATTTATTTACTTATCGTGTCAGTATCAACCAGACAATTGTATTACATTTTTAACAAACAGAAAATCATTAAAAATTATTAAAAATCATTGTGGCATGATGCGTGGAGAAAAATCTCACTGTGACAACTTAGGCCATGGCTGTCATAGATATTAAATCCCAAAGTATAACTTAATAGGATCTTCTGGTTTTCATTGATTTACTACACCATTAAACCAGTGAAAGTGGAGAGCCTGTTGTATTTACCATTGTTTCCATAAAACAGATATCTAATGAGGGTTTGAACAAGGGGATGGACTAGATGGCCTCGGTGGGATCCATCTGAATTCATAATTCTTTGATTCTAGGAATCCTGTGTTGTTTTCAGCCTTTCTCCGCTTTGACATGTTTGCTTTTCCAATGAAACTGCAGGTTTCCAAGTTTGTTTTCAGTCTCCTCCCTCTTCTAGAATGCCAAAACGCCTCTCCAAAGGGTCTCCTGTTGCCAGCAATGTGGTGGTGTTTTAGGCCCCAGCTCCTTTTGCCATGCCAACCTCCCTGGACTGGAATGCCAGGCAATTCCCCAAATCCAAAAAAATGGTTCAAAGCATCCCCGGAGCACAGTGTGCCTGCCTTCCCTCCCTTCTCTGCACCTCCTTCGTGCTGCACATCCGGCTCTGTGTTTGCAGAAGCCGTTTGCCTTGGCAAAGAGGGCAGCCGTGACATCACTCCTCTAGGTCATACGCCAAATATGCACGAACGGCCCACTCACTCCTGACGCAGCACAAGGCGGTCAATCAGTAGCGGGGCCCTATTTATGTGGGGCATTGTCCAGCCCTTAAAGCTACAAGAGCGTGCGATTGCTCAGGAAACGATGGCTTGGAGAGGAGAGAATCCTAGACCTGGAATTGATCTTAAAGACCACCCAGTCCAGCAGGAAGACACAATCGCATTGGCTTTTTTAGCCACCACATCACAGCATTGGCTCATATTTAGCTTGCAGTAGCACCATAGAATCTTAAAGTCGAAAGGGCCATCCAGTCTAACTCCATTGTGCCAGGAAGCAAGCTGTACCTCAATATCCGCGGATTTTGCTTACGTGGATTTGAAAATATATTATTATTATTATTATTATTATTATTATTATTATTATTATTATTATTGGGTTGTAGTTTTTTTCGGGCTATATGGCCATGTTCTAGAGGCATTCTCTCCTGACGTTTCGCCTGCATCTATGGCAAGCATCCTCAGAGGTTGTGAGGTCTGTTGGAACTAGGAAAAAGGGTTTATATATCTGTGGAATGACCAGGGTGGGACAAAGGACTCTTGTCTGCTGGA